TTTAATAATAATGAAATTAAAATCTATCTACCTTTCATCAAATTAAGTTTGGTTTGAAATTCCTTGTGTCAGTCCCTTTCTCTAGGGAGAAGGTTGAGATCCGCCACACTGCTTTTCTGGTACTATATTTTATTTAATGCTAGTTTAGGGATCTGTACACTCTGCTGTACCTAAGGTTTTTGTATTTACTTAAAGTTCATATAAAAAAAACACCACTTAGAATGGAGGCTGCAGACATTTAAACTGTAATCACAATTACAGTTATTAGATAGCAAAAGCATTACAATGGAAACACCAAGAGATCACTTCCACTCTGAGATGCTGTGACTATGATAAACTGAAGATATATATGGATATATATATATCCATATATATTCAAGATATATATGGATATATAAAGAAACTCTTTGGGGAGTATTTTGCTTTAAAATATTTTACTTACATACAGAAATCTTTAACAAAACTGGACAGTTAACTTTATTTCAATTAGAATGACCACCCAGGTGTCAAATGAGCCCCATGTGAGAAAAATTCTGGTTTTTGCTCCTCCAAAATGTCACCATTACTAGGGAATGTACGAGATCTGTCATTGTTTGCCCTGCCTTAGGATAAGAAGTAAACTGTGATGTTTTTCTGTCAAGATTTTCTCATGTAAAGATTCCTACCCCTACCAGATAGTTATGAAATAGATTCTGTTCTCTGAGGTCTTGTGCAGGGGAAGTGGGAGAAGGCTCCAACTCACAAACCATCACAAACTTCATCATCCCTCCTTCTGGAAAACAGTCAGATAAGTGGGTTTCTTCTCCTTTAATTAGAAGGTAAAGGGCAGAATTGAGAAACTGTGGCACATTTATCACTCCATATGCCACTGTAAAGGCATGCCAAAAAGACTCAGGCATTTTTCAAGATAAACATGTCATCTACGTGTTTAGATTAAGCTAAACAAATATTTTCATCTCATTTTAAATCAAAACACCTATGATATTAAAAAGGTGCTTTTCTCCCTGTCACTGTTCACTTCAGTCACTACATTTTAAACTAATTTTAGCCTGACTTGTTTTTTCTATCCAAAGACAATTGTGTCTTAGTATTCTCATCTTTCTTATTTTTTTTTTTAATTAATTGCCTGTATGACTCACCATTTTACTAATGTTTTTAATCAGGCTCTCCGGGCAGTCATTTTTTTAAGCTCTCAGTGTTTTCCAGTAACTGGTCTAATATAACAGACTAAAGATCCTTTTGAAAACCATTTTCACAAATTCCAAAAGGTGTCCGCTTAGACATAGGTGCTACCATTTTTATTTATTTATTTATTTTTAAGCATAGGAAGGGGGAATTGAATAGTCTGTGTTTGTTTACTGAATAGCTCTGACTCATCCTGCCCAAGCTGTCTGTGCTGCCAGCGAGGTGGAGGCATCCTGGAGAAAGCAGGAGGAGGAGGAAAGGGGAAAAGCACGAGCGCAAGGGAAAGCAAACATGATCACTGCAGACTGCATTCCCGAGTATACACAACAGGGAGCTGAATTAAGATCTTAAATCCCCAGTGTTAAGTGCTGCTTTCTGTGTTCAAAGATCAGAACTGTGTGCTGACATTCTAATTGGGAAAGGAAATACACAAAGGAAAAAAAAAATGTAGCAGCTTTGCAAGCAAAATACTCCTCCTGCATTTTCTCACAGCCCCGTCTCCAAGCACATTTCAAAACATGGCATACAGAGTCATAGCTGCTTATGCCACACTAGTTTGTTTTGCTTGAAATTTTGACATCATTTAATTTGATTATATCCAGCGGGTGAAAAGTTAATTGTTTGCTTGATTCTAGTGTCTTAAATAGTTAGAATCCAAATACATGATTTCTCTGTATGCCTACAAACTTTGCAGAAAGCACATCTACATCAGAACTTGGCAAAAATAAATTGTAATACTTCTTTCAGGAACACGGATGATTCCTTCAAATCAAAACCAACAGGGATTTGTCTTCTAAGGTTTAACAGTTGTGAACAATTCTGCAAAACTCATGCAAACATCTCAGCCCCACATGTAGTATTGGCTTGGTCTTCAGAGTCAGCTTTTGGAACTGTCCATGATGCGCCTTGTCAGATGAAGGTGAGAATATTGTCTCCAGTCCATTGCAAAAGGCTGCCATTTAGCTTTCCATCATATTCCTTAATGGAGTAGTTTGGGAAAAAAATATTCTAGAGTTACTTCTTGAGCCTGTAAACTGGAACTAAACTGTGCAAGTACTGCAGATGATTGATGGATAGAAGATTATTCAAATCACAGAACAGATGAGTGCTGAATATATACTATGAACAGAATCTTCCATATATTTCAGACAAATCATTACCTTGGTGAGGTCAGGCTAGTGACTCAGATTCCAAGTGAGAATCTTCCTAATTTCAGAAATAAATCATCAAGAAGTAGGGTTACAATTTACAAACCCAAGGTTTTTTGTTCAGTTTGTTTTTTTAAGTGGAGTAACAGAAAAAAAGAAAAAAAAAAAAAAAAAGAAAAAAAAAGTTATGCCTTATGAATTAGTGTTAGCACTTCCATTATAGAATTTTAATATTTAAAAGGATTTTTTAAATTTAACTGCTCTGATTTTAACTGCTGTGATAAGGATTTCTGGAAAATGTCATGCAGCCTTGTGATTCACTGTATTTATCCAGCACTTTCCAGAAGCACCCTATGGGAACATTTCAGATTTTTTCACTGTTACAGATTTGGAGAAGAGCTGTGACTTAACACACCACTTTGTCATTCCTGCGCTACTCATGGGCATTGTGGAGTAGGAAAGCCTACCTTTCTGACTCCAGTTTAATCTTTTGCCCAAATACCTTAGCATTATGGCTAAGTGGTGACCTCTGCCTGCACTCAAGTTGGCAGAAGCTGTGAAATTGGGCTTTGCATCAGGCTAAGCCCAAGACAGCAAGCTTTTCTAAACTCAGGTGAGCAACAGCCCTGCCTTCTGCCAGTCCAGAGGGGGAAACACAGCTACTGGGGGAATATTTCTTAGGCTTTGTGTGGGAAGGTTGGGCCACTGCGAGTTAGCTCAATGAAATATTTTCCTTAAAGCCTCTAATTACCATCTGGCCAGGCAATAGAGCTCCTCAATCATTCTAACATTTTAGGAATTGCCTTTTTTAAAAAGAATCCCTCTTGTAAAGCATGCTTGTTTTCCTTATTCTTGGTTAGAAAACATCAGTTTGTGGACTAAGGGCTTATGAAAAATGCTGCATTAATTCATCACAGAGTGGGTCAAATTATTTTTCGTCTAAAGGGCCCATACACTTTTGGTGAAAAGGAGTATATGTCCTCTGGTTCAGCATGCGAGTGTGCACCTTTCACTGTTCCTGCTCCAGGTGCTAGCAGCTGATAAGCACATCCTTAAAAGTCAGGTCCAGAAGAATAAAAAGGCTGGTAGCAAGTTCACATAACAAGCAGACTCAATGGAACCAGTTACAAGCATGTTTGGAAGCATTTTTTACATTTTTTTTTTTTTTTTAAGTTTTGTCAGCTTTCTTGCTCCTCTTCATTACCCTGCTCCCTGAGGTGACTGGACTAGTTGCCCCCAGGCAGGATACCCGCAGGATGCAAAGAACTTCCCGGGAAGCAGCCATGGGAATGCTGGCTTAGCACTGCACATCACCTCTTTTCACCACCCGTGGTATTACTACCTTCAACAGAGCTTTAGCAAGTTATCCACTTCACCACTTCACACAGCTGCATTTTCTTTCTTAGAATCTACAATATGGTTTCAAAATCCTTTTATCTTATCAGAGCTAATACATGATTGATCCATGAATATCAGAAGATCATTTTCAATCAGAATGAAATTTCTGTTGTGGCATCTTAGTGGAAAGAAACCCCTTCAGAAGTAACAATGAAACAGTAAAAACTGCTTTGTTATAAACCCTGCTATGTTAGCTGCACTAAATCCTTTATTCTTCCCCCCTTACACACACATCCTCTTCTCTCTAAAATATCTTTAGTTGTAGGAAAAGCAAGCAATACTGTAGGACTACTGGAAATAAAAGTGATGTTCAGCTATCAAACAACAAAAGCTCTCCATATATTTTGATATGTTATCATTAATTATTTTCAAATCTAATGCCAGAATGAAGCAGCATGTTTTTAAAGTAGCCTCCAAATGTGACCAAGTGTAAAATCAAAGATTCAACACCATTAGACCCATTTACTTTTTCACAGAGCACTAGAAAGACACAGAGTTCTGTATTTTACTCCTTCTGATGAGTCACTGCTTATGACACAAAGACATTGTGCAGACTTAGTGTCTTCATGAAGATTAAGTAGTCTCATGAAATGCAATTAGAATGAATGCGTACTTGTCAATTTGTAATTACATTCAGAACAAACTTTACATTAACAGCAAAATTAGAATAGGGAATTCGTCTGCCATATTATATCTGTCCAGCTCATTTCCGCACAGCAGTGGGCAGAGATTCAGAAGAGAACACTCCTTTCTGATTTCAGCAGTAATCAATTTATGTCCTGAAGAAAAAAAAAACTGTAGTAGCACACAGCCAAGTATTAGGGCTGTCTCTGAAAACACAGGGATATTTGGGTCATATCTACTGAATCAGATGCTTCTCACTGGCACGATGTTAACGGTGTCCCTGAATAGCCCAGTAAGTAAGCAAAAGGAAGGGATAAAAAAAAAAAAGTACAGGAAGGGATCTACTAAGAGCAAATGAAGCTCATGTTTACTGTTCATTGAATGAGCACTGAGGTTTGGGTACTAACCTACGGAATATGCTGGTCAGGCAAAGATAGACAAGCAGTCCAGCCAGCCCTCCACCACTACTTTTCTGATAAATTGATCTTAAATATCTAGACCAAGATTTATTTATTTATTTTGCTATTTAGTACTTCTATTTGTACCCCAGACAACTAACTCATAGCATTACTCCTACTTCATTTTCTTTGGAAAGTGTAGCAAAAAAGCCATAACTTTTTATGGTCTTATTGATTGCCTCTTCCTCTGCTTCTTGACCCGGTTACATCCACCACTTGCGCATAAAGATACACTGATTTCTTTCAAATCTCCTTTAATGAAAAGCTGTTAGAAGAAACTGCTAGTTTGGCTGTTCTGCAGCATGCTGTGTGTTGCTACAGGACATAGCTACAGGGCTGCAAATGTTTAAAGCCATGTCTCTAGCACAGATCAGTCATACAGGCAAAAGCCAATACTTCTTCAGTTCTCCAAATCAGTTGATTCAATACTAAAAGAAGCATTCCAAATACTTTGCTTTGTCTTATATTGTCTTATATTGTGTGTTTTTAAACACACAGAAATAATGAGTGCTGGTTACTATGCCCAGCACACTGTGTTTTAAAATTAAACTGTTTAATTACAAGTTTTCTTCAGAAGTTCTACAACATGCTTTAATTCCTCAACACTGAAATACACGCGCATGCAGTCAAGTACAAGACATTTTGCACATAAAAAAAGTGCAGCTATTTCACATAGAAATATTCAATCTCTCTGCATAGGTAAGCAAGATGCACAGGGTAACAGAAAATTTGAGACAAGAATAAGAGGTACTATAACAAATAGGATTTTGTACTTCTGTTGTACTAATGCACTTTACCTCAACACTCATAAATGGTAAGGAGAGTAAAAATAAAGTCAATTTTAGCATTAACCTGTTATTCAGCTACTGCAGGCAGTCTTAAATTATGGCCCTTATAAAACCATATATTACAAGCAAAGATTTTAACTGTCAAGACCATGTCAAAAGCAGTCAGGAACATGTATCAGAAATTCTGAGTTTCTATATGGCAAGTTAAAGACTTAAGACTATTATACAACTACGCAAGAGCTCAACAAAAAAAAGCACATTTTTATCTAGTTATACTAATTTATACATTTCCTTGTCAAAGCTATAAATAAGTTATCTATACATTTATTTATAAACCACCCATCAGCATCTTGTTAAAATCAAGATTGTTACAGACATAAATGAAATGCCAGACTGAGCTGAAATTCTCTTCTAGAGCAAGCCAAAAAACTACTTGCTGCTGTGAAAGAGGAGGACCTTGATTTTCTTTTTGATCTCTGTTGCTTCTCTAACTCCCAAACACGTTCAACCGTTGCTTGCCTGAGGCCCATCTGGTGCTTGTCTGCTGATGGGAGCCTTGACAGCTGAATTCAGATCACAGCGTTTTCCAGGTGATTGAACTGCCTCAGCCTACCTTGCCTGCAGGCAATGGCCAGAGCCTTTTGTCCAGAAAGGGCGAAGGGAGGCTCGGGATCATGGCAAGGAATGAACAGGAATGAGCAAAGTGCGAGACCTTTCTCCTTCGGTACCAGAAGAACTGTCAATACAGTGCAAGTCCATGAAGTTACAACCCTGTTTAATATTGAAGTTCTACTTTTTCCACTTACAAACTGTTGAACCTCACATCATTTAAATATGGCCTGATATTTGCCTATAAGGCTTATATGCAAAAATACATCATATGTATCAAAATGGAGATTAAAAAATTCTAAAAGCCTTGTCTGTTCCCAGTTGTTGAAGAGTTAGCCACACATTATGTTTCCCATCTTACATGTTCTGTACTTCTGAAGTTCTTAATATAGACTTTTAACAGAAGCTAATGATTCTAGTAACTCTCAACTGTACTACATTAAAATTTGGAAACAGTATAAATGAAGAAAGATTTCATTTGTTTTAATCTGAAATGTCTGCATTTCTAATTTTCTTATTTGTATTTGAAGTTCTGACTTGGTGCTCTTTTCAAATAAGCCTTTTGACTTCATCAGGTTCATTCTCCATTGATGCTGTTCTACCATATCACACATGAGAAAGAACCAAGATTTTCCTTCCATGGCTTGTTTTACAACACTGGCAGACACAAAACTTTTTTTTCTGTTTGCCAGAAAAGTCTACTACTTACTACTCTAGTAAGCATGCTAGAGTTCATCTTTCAACAAAGACTAGTTTTCTCTCTCATTAAAAAAAAAAAAAAAAAAAAAAAAAAGCATGAGTATAAACAGAAATCAAAAAACAACCACCTTGGTCTTCCTTTGGACTTCAAGGCTCAGTCTCCAGCAAATAAATGGAAAGGACAAGTCTGACCTATTGGAAGAAAAGCAGTCTTTTTCTAATTCTCTATAACAAGGTGCTGGCAGGAGGACGTATTTAGGTACATGGTGCACCCCGCAGCCTTGCTGAGTCAGACACACTGCCATAACCTCGGCTGCTTGGCAAACTCTGCAGCGAGGTGAGGCAGGTTCTGCGATTCCGGACTTTTGCCAAGAAAATCAAGCAAGGGCACCTAACAGGAGATGCATCCTCTTATCACTTATACATGAGCTGTCTGTCTTCACATCACTTTCAAAAAAAAACAACAAACAAAGAGGTAAGCTTTGGGGGGGGGGAAGAGAGAGAGAGAGGTCCTTGTTTTCAATTTGTTCTGTTTGATTTTAAGGATACAACAATCTGTACACCATGGAAACTCTTCTAGACTGTACATGTTGCTATAGGAACAGCTTATTTCACTTACACAGCTCTCTCAAACAGAGAAATTGAGTAAATGCACAAATCAACAACTGCAAAACTGATTACTCTTTTCAAGTTCATTTTTGAGCAGACCAAGTTTTAAGAGAAATGAATCAGCCAGACATTTGGCAGCAGTCTGAATACAAATTCAATGGGCATCTGAAATAATATCTTTAAATAAACCATGTAATACACTCACTGGCTATTGAAATCTCCTTGTTACTCAGTATACGACCATTTCTGAAGTGATTTCTCACTAGTAAAGAGCCTTACAGAACAAGGGTCTATTTTGCACTTACTGAAATATTGTGACTTTTTCTTCAATATACAATACATAAGCAGAAGAAACAGCCCGTTTTCCTGTCAGCCAAGATACAGTGAAACAAATGTATGTATTTAAGTCATGAAGGTGTCTTGCAGTGTAGGCACAGCACCACAGATCCCATCATTAACTCACACTGAACCCATAAAGCCACTTCAATACGGGTTACACATATCAATGGAGAATATATTCAGAGGCAGGGAAAGAAAATTTTAATGAAGTTATACAATTAGTTTCTGAATAAATAATAATAATTTAAAAAAAAATAAGATTGAGAAAAACATCAGATTCTGAATTTGAACTTTGTTTTTAAAGGCTAGGACTTGTATAAATGTAGGCCAATCGAATGTTCATTTCTTACAGTTTTTTAATGCTCAGTATGTTTGATCACTAGAAATTTTCTGTTACTGTTCAAATATAATAAAAAACACTCATTATTCCATGGCCAGAAAATTACAGCAATTTGGAATTTGATGGAAGACTTCACAGTCCACGAGCAAATCACTTTCTGAAGTTTTGTGACACTAAATATTATAGACATTGTTTCATGGACAAGACCTACAAAATCAAGACTAAAGCCTGTTACTGAAATAAAAACAGCACCCACAAATAAGAAAGCTATGTTTCCGTAATATAACACAGGCCTTCCCTTCTGCATTAACAAACTGATGAGTGGGGACAGGACCAAGAAAGCATGGGGCTGACAGACAGAGCAGTGATGCTTCTTCCTGGGGAAAGCCAGACTTACCTGTCCACGTTCTCCATGGAATCTCTGGGTGCACAAGACCTCCGGGCAACTGGAACAGCTCAAGGTGAACATTGCCAAAATCTACAGTGCAAGATGTGGGAGCTAGAGTTCAGGCTGGATTTATCAGAGCTTGGAGAAAATGGAAAAAAAAAAATAATAATAATATGGGCTGTTTTATCCTGAAGGGGAAAACAGAAGCATGCAGTGAGTTGGAGAAATGAAGGGGGGTGGGTGAGGGTACACTGAAGGAAGTGGATGAGAAAGAAAGGGGGAAAAATGTAAAGTAAAGTGATGAAATAATTGCCGGCACACTTACAGTATGAGAAGTACCCCCAAGAAAGATATATACATGAACAATTTTGGACATTTGATTTAATTAAAGATGGACATTCCTCTGTGGGTAAATTTTAGATGGGAGCGGTGTTTATGTCTGTCTGAATCTCAAAGCAGTTTTTGCTACCTGCAGAATACACAAGACCTGAATTTTTGATGCCTGAATAGAAAGTGAATCTGTGACTGCATTTTAAATTATGGCTATGCTGCAGAAAGTCAGGATCTTCTCTGGCATTTTCGCTAGCTCACCTTCCCTTCAGGATAGCACAATTATTCTTTCTTACACTTTATTTTAATATTCTTCGTCCTTGAGCTGTATTAAGGATATGACTACATTGAGAAAGAGCCTTTGCTCACAGTATTACTGTAGCTAGCAGGAAAAAAAAAGATTTTTTTGCATAGCCAGAGGCCAGATAAACACCAACTCTTACACTCTGCTCCACAGCAGGCGTTACTACAGGCAAAACAAACTCACGGAACTGATGGCATGCATCCGCTCGGATCAGACCTCAGAAGAAGCTGTGCTGTAGGCCGGCAGAAAGTTTCATAACACAGTAAGAGTCTTCTGCTGAAGATGACTCCAATATATTTTCCTCTGTTTGTTCTGTGGAAAACATCTTTTGGTATTTTGTAGCTCTGTTTTTTCCCCCAGTGCTCTTTGTAAATGAAAAACAACGTTTGCTTCATGATTCATTTTTGTCTGAGATCTTTGCACATGTCACCATGTAAAAAAAAAGTGCTCGGTGCCAAGCTGTGGAGTATCCCACATTGCCACTGACTTTCGTTATTTGATTACTTAAACTACATATCTGGTTTTTAAACCTGAGAACTAGATGTCTGCAAGTCATAGAGGGCTTTAAAGTCCAACCCTAAGATATTCATAAATATTGTGCTATGCTATTAATGAAGGAAGTTTCTTTTCTTTTCTTTTTTAATTTTAAATATAGTTCCCAGGATGTCAATAGAAACACTTGACATTCATTCTAGCTCTGGAATGGAGCAGTCCTAAAGAAGCGAGATCTAAGCTAGCTTAATTGGCTTGAATTCTTCACAAATTTGGCTTAAAGTGGGTGAACTACTCAGTCAATACAGTATTTTGGGAGACTGTGCATTTTGTTCTGAAAACATGAATTTTGAGTGCTGGCATTTCAATTCTCTTGGAAGACAGCAGAAAGATAGATCTGAGAAGTGATCCTCCTACATGGCCAGAGACCAGCAGCAGAATGCACGAAGGAGCTGTGCTAACTGCTTCTGCACTTCTGCCAGGGAACATTTTACCTTGAAAAACTCACAAGATGCTTTGTTATCAGACAGCTAACTATTCAGATTGCCTTTAACAGTAAAAATGTACACATTTTATAGGGATGTCATTTCTGTGGAGAGATATATATACACACACACATACACACACACAAGCGCGCACTAAAACCTAAGATGGACAGATTTCACATAGCCAAGCTTGGTCCAAACACAGATGGACTTTAATCTTGTCCCCAAGCAATAATGATCCAGTATATATATCTATATGTACAGGATTCTACATTTAAATGCAGGATACCTCTAAAGAGATTAAAGCCATCTTTCACCTGATACAGGAATATTTTTCTCCTTTGTCATACATAAATAAGTCTGCCTGTAGGTAGTCACTTTTGACCTCTTAGCAGCATATTGAAATGGAAACCTTAGAGTACTTACCACGTAAAAAACCTAAAATATATAAATATATACAAATGAATATAGTGCTGCCCAAATCTTTAAAAAAAATACTCTCCAATATTCAAGACTATCAGAGTAACACATCAAATTTGGGCTTTCATGACCTATATCATCACTTACACTGAAAAAGGGTTAACAGCAACTTACTGTAGGAAGATCGCAAAATAACATATCAAAGATTTCTGACCCATGTATGCAGAGAATAATTAGTTCACACAGCGTTAATGAAGCCCCATACAATCGATTTCTTTGGTAAAGAGTTAGCAGAGCTGTACAACCCTGCCTAAGCCTCGGTTTCCTCAACAATCAATACACATCTAAATCCTGACATTATTACTGCACAGAGAGACCCTTTCTAGAGCTGCCTCCACAAACCTTTTTAGCTTTACAAAAGTCTAATATAGAAGTGAAATGCTTGATTTTTTCTACTTAGAAACATTTGTTATTCTCATTTACTATGAAGACATAAGATAAACAACTAGTCCAGGAATCATCTGAATTTTAACTGTGTTTTAAGACACTGCTAATTAGAACCTAAGATAGGCACTAAAAATACCCAGACATGCAGCTGACATCTTCCTGATCCAACTTCAGAACCTTCTGTGCTAACTTAGAAGCAGTGACTAACACAAGTGCTTTCAGTGTATGCTTTGCCATGAACAGTCACGTACAAGAACTATTTTTTCCAAAATAAGATGGATAACGGAGTTAAAAAATGTTCTTCTCCTGAAAACAAATAATTGCTGAGGTCATTCAAGAATTCAGTGAACAGAACAAGTGTCCAGAAGTTAATATACCCAGAAATCAGTAATTTTTAGTAGCTGGGAAACAGCTATTCTGATCTGTATTCAAGGTTTATCAATGAAATCAGTAATTTTTAGTAGCTGGGAAACAGCTATTCTGATCTGTATTCAAGGTTTATCAATGCAAATGATTTTTATTTACTTAATCGAAAGCTTTCCTGTTTTTTTTTTTTCTTTCTTTTTTCTTTTTTTTTTTTTCTTTTAGGCTTCTGGTAAAAGACTTTCCTTCGGCTTTGACAAAACAGAAAATGAAAAACTATCGTTCAAGAAGTAAATCTAAAAGGTACAGAAATTTTCAGGAACACTACTAAGTCAGAAAGAACAGAATTTTTTGGTCTGTGCATCATACAACACTTCAATATTGTTGTTATTTCAGGTTAAAGTGAAATACAACCTCAATATTTACAAGGTATTTCCTGGACACAAGATTCATATGCTAGTAGTAAGTTACTCTTCTGATTTCTCTTGTTTTACATCTACCTACACTCTTAGGCAACAGCTAAAAATCTCCAACAAGAAGAAAATTTTGGAGGAATCTAAATATACTACAACTAAGCTAACCTTTCTCATTGCCGAAAACAAGTGAGTTTGGTAGAAGGGTATCATACTTTTTGTACATTTTTTATTAGTGAATAAAAGAAGAGAATGAGAAGAAAATACCAACTTGCTGAATAGTTTTCAGGTACTCAGATAGTCAGTTAAAACAGAGATCCATTAGAAGTAGAGAATTAAATATTTTTTCCCAGTAACTTGTGAAGTGAAGCAAAGTACCTCTTCAGTAGGAAAAAGTGCCTAATAGTCTTGGGAACAATTTGCTTCTAAATTATTATTTGTTAGCTAACAATAGTCATCATAATCAGAAGAAAAACAGAGTACAAACAAAGTATAACCCAATATTTTTAGGACATTAAAATAAGCCGAAGTAATCCACTCTATTCTTTTTTTAAAAAAAATGTAAGTTTTTCTGTAATACTTACTTATACACAGGATTATTAAAAATGTTAGAAAGTGGTTTTATGTAGATCCAAATAGAGCTGAGTGATATGCATCCTGACCCTTCACACATAGTTTTCCTAAGCACCAGGGCAAGTAGGTCAGCATGTCCAAATGCAAATGGTTCTCAAATTCAAATGATCAAGCTCAAAAGCTAAGAAAAAAAAAATAAGAATAACCTTTTATTTAGCATTTGAAATGAATCGCTTATCCACAATTCACTGCTTTTTTACTACATTTCATCATGCAGTTGTCAGCCCTTGGAGCACAGTACTATAGTAATACAAAATGAAGGTTTAAGAACTAAAAGTAAACTAAATTTCACCTTAGGGGCAACTGCATGGGCTTTAGGTCCTGTCCAACCCAAGCCATGCTATATAATCTATAAAATTGTTTGTGAGTGTTCTCAGAAACCATAAATTAAAATCTAGAGCCTCATTTGGATTAGAACCCAGAAAGGAAAAAGTGCTGTAATCAAGATTATGAAGGACAAAAGAATCTTCCTGATTAAGGCAAAGCTATTTGTAAAAAACGAAATAAGTTGCTTTAAAATGACATTTTGAAAATCATTAACTGTGTGGCAGTTATTGTCTAGGTCTACACCTTCACCCATTTTTATCCCATTTTGCACATCTGGCACTTTGCTTTCTTCCCTCATTGCTCAACTTGCCTGGCCAGGTAAAGGAAAGCAGCAGTAAACTCCTTGTTTAGTGACAGAATTGCAAAAAGGATTGTGGGAGATGAGCTCGTTGTGCTTTCACGCAGCCCACACAAGCATTAGCTTAAAATATCACTGTAATGTATTTTTCAGTGTCACTTGCTGTTTATTCAGCTTAATGATCCTTTCAACTTTTTCTAGTGCACGGAATTTCAATGCTGCTTTAGCAATAGATGATAATGAGAACGTGCAACTTGGACTGGCTACGGTTATTAGGCTAATAAATAATCTCCTGTATTGAAACTACAACGGCCTTACTTATGAACAGATCCAAAATATTAGTATAGTAGTAATAATAAGTTAGTTAAACACGCTTGAATTCAAATTGGTACAAAGTGTGTTAGAAGAACTTTACTGCACTATAGCAAACTACAAAATCTTACTCTCACAAACTGTTATGTAAGGAAATGCATCTATGCTAGTCAACTCTTGATCAACTCAAATTCAGAGAAATATTAAAGAACCATTGCAGAATACACAGTAGGCATTCAAAACTTCAACTTGTTACACCCTCAGACTAATACACTTGCCATCTACACACGTCATAGGAAAAGCATGTCCTTAATAAGTGTTATGGTTAATTACACAACGTACTGTTTCACTTAGAATTACTGATGAAAGATTAAAAATGAGGATGTAGGGAGACATCCTATTACAGCCAATGTCCCTGGAAGCAATACCACTTTTATTTGTTACTGCTGTCACCTTCAGGAGGTGTTTCATCACTTACCTTACTACTTCTGTGAGTACAAGTCAGCATCTGGTATTGCTCTAGGTTATTGTCACTACAAATACAGTTAGAGTTCCATTATCTTTCTAGAGCCGGGGTTGTTAATAATTCAAGAGTTTTAAGATTGGTAGCAGTGAACACAGGATAATGTATGGCTCCTGTTTGTTCCATCTACTAGAGGCACGAGGGAACACCTTCACTTGCCGCTGTCTGATATCACCACAGAAGAGGAAAAAATATAAAAAGTGAAATGCGCTTGTTGACATTTTCCTTGTCATTGTTACCCAAATACAGCAAATAAAGTGCAACTTCCCTAAAAGCTCTCAGGTGGGACACTGGTTTAAAGCATTTGGCAAGGAAAGTGACAGTCCTACCGATCATTTTGGAATAACAGGGGCTCCCAGCTCCCCCAGGGTTTCAGCTGGCAACATGTGATGCGTGGGTTTATGTGGAGGTCAGTTCCTCACAGCTTAAATATTGCTGGAATTAACTCATGAATTGGCCTGGGGTAAAATAGCAATACAGCACCTGCAAGAAAACAGCAGTTTGTCTCTCAGTGTTTCAGTGCATCCCACAAGTGTTAGTGTTCACCTGGAAAATTGAGTTTTCCATACAATACCAGCCTGTCACAGAAATCCCTTCCTGCCTAGAACCAGGAGGCAGACAGAACCAAAGCCAGGGGGAGAGCCAGATTTTCAATACTAAACTGGTTTTGGTACTAACCACATTTTTATTTTTATTTATTTGTTTACTATAATCATTGTTAGGTAATAATCAACTTGTTTATTGCAATGGGTAACGATCTCAGCAAAAGAAGAGTAATTCTTATGGTGATAATGGAGCTGGTTTCAGCAACAGGTCTGGAAGAGGCACCTGGAAGTACCCAGCTGTTTCTCTGTTCTTGTCAGAAGGTAGCCCCTTGGATACTGAGTCATAATGTCACAAATAAGCTTGTGGGGGGTAAAGGGAAAGGTTTACTAACAAAATGGAACAAGCCATGAGAGTTCCCTAAACACTTCTAAGTGGCCTTGTACCTTAAGCTCTTCAAACCTAAGAAAAAAGATTTTGAACTCCCCCACTCTCTTGTTTAAAATTGATATTTTCAGTTAAAATCCCCAGGAGGTAAATTACCAGGAGGTAACTCAGGTGTGAGACAGAAAAAGAGGACATCTGGTGGCATTTGATGTCACCGTATACAAACAGCAAGCCAATTCACACCTACGTGCAGCTGCACCAGCAAGAGTTAATAAATATAATGCATGCTTTTAGACAAAACATGTAGTTTTAACTGAGGGAAAAAATAAAATAATACAGAAACAGATTTAAAACAAACAATATGATATGAGTTTCTGGTTCCAGATGCTGCCACTACTACAAAAAATTACTCTTTATACATTATAATGGTTACAGACACAAGTACTAACTGTCCCCATAGGAGGCTGCCATCTCCAGCAGACATGTGCTATGGAAAGGTAGGACAGATTTCCCACTACTATAAAGAACACAAAGTTGTCGGTTTCATTGGAGGGATATCCATGGAGACGAAACCAGAAGGGAAAAGAGAAAGAGATTTTTCTTAGGAAGCAGCACCACCACAGCTGAGGTACTTACACCACCTAAAATGCAGCACTGCTTACACTATGGAGACCAAATGCTGACCAGGTATCTCAGAAATCTGAGCCCAGTTCCAAACTATCAGATCAACTCGTGTATTGACAGACTGTATGTATTAAGAACTCTGTATTGAGTTCATGAGAACAGTTATTTCTGAACTAGAAATGAAGATTTTGGTATTAAGATAACTGTGAAGATTTGACACTGAAACCTTCTACAGCATGGAGCTTAGCATATGTGCTGAGCAGCACCTACCAACCACTTGGAATTCAGACACTGAACAGTCAATATCTGGGAGATTCCTTGACTCCGAGGAACTAGAGAACACCATGGCAGGGTAGAAACAGAAATTACACTTACAAATAAGCTTTCTAGTTATGTGGCAGGCTACATGCATTTTACTGCCTGTGGCAAAGAATGAGAAAAAAAGGCTGAAGTTTAGACTTCTGTCATGCTCTCTCATGAGAAATATGCTACAGTATTAGAATTTCCTTGTCTGAAAGAGAAAGAATAAAAGCAAAAGAAGACTGTGACATACAGAATATTGTACTTTTACTACACAGCTTTAATACATGGAATCAATCACAGACAAGATTTAAAGGGAGATTTTTTTTTTTTTTGGGGGGGGGGGGGGAAAGTACTTGTATCTTTCAAAGTAGCACTGTCAATAAATGAAGAAATCTTACCGTCTCTCTTGCTTCCACCAGCACAAACATGTGTGGTAAAGCACATTGGTGACCTGGTTAAAACTAGACTGTTTTAAAAAAAAAAAAAAAAAGTTGGCTTTAACCCACATCAATTCTCCAATCTGTTGCGATATGCAGCCACGCAAACACCTACACTGGTAAAAACGGATAGAAGAAAACTGCTCCCTGCAACAGCAGTGCTGGCTGACAGTGTAAATGAGACTTAAGACCTTCTGGTGTTTGCAGATTTTCTTACCAAAGTTAGCAAAGTAAAAGTTAAACTGAAGAACAGATTAGAGGCCAAGTTCAAAGTTGGTATAAGACATAAAATAACTTCATAAACTTCATATAGACTCTTTATAGGTTACAAGTCACAAACTATTAGTCTCAAAGCTACTTGTGCTAATGGAAACAAAATGAATTTAAAAGTCAGTAATGTACGTAAGAAACATATCTCAGATTTAATCTAAAATACATAAAAGCCAGTTAAGGAAATACACAGAAGAACACAGTGGTAGGAAAGCTATAAATCAAGATCTGAAGTTATATATAAAAATTAAAAAATAAATAAAAATCCACCTTGGGTGCCTCAAATAGAAGTTCTGAGCTGGTAAGATCTAGATTTGTGTAGAAAATTCTAGAATACTTTGACAACATCATTACCCACGTTTTCTTTAAAAACACAACCACTCAACAAAAATATTCCAGAGGTATTTTTCGCTCCAGAGACTGCTTTGCTAACTTAGTTTTAAATACTAGTAAACACCATAATAATTGCCCTTTGGAATGCTATTAGTTTGTTCACTTGCAAACCAGTTTTTCATTTATTATTACTTATTAGAATAAGGTCATTCTGGGTCAATACTATCCATCCACCCACACCCTACATAAAATATATATTTCAAGATCTTCTACTTTTGTTTTGATTTCATAAAGTTATACTTACCCAAGGGAGATCTAGGAGACCTGTTGGATAGCAGCTTAGGGGAAAGGGACCTGGGGGTCCTGGGTGGACATCGGGATGACCACGAGGCAGCACTGTGCTCCTGTGACCAAGAAGGCCGATGGCATCCTGGGGTGTATCAGAAAGGATGTGGTTAGTAGGTCAACAGAGGTTCTCCTTCCCCTCTACTCTGCCCTGGTGAAACCACATCTAGAATATTGCATCCAGTTCTGGGTCCCTCAGTTCAAGAAGGACAGGGAACTGTTTGAGACAGTCTAGCACAGAGCCACGAGGATGATTAAGGGAGAGGAGCATCTCCCTTGTGAGGAGAGGCTGAGAGAGCTGGGCCTCCATAGCTTGGAGAAGAGGAGATTGAGGGGTGACCTCATTAATGTTTATAAATGGGTAAAGGGCAAGCATCAGGAGGACGCAGCCGGGTGCTTCTTGGTGACATCTAATGATACAAGGGACAATGGCTGCAGGCTGGAACATAGGAGGTTCCACTTAAACATAAGAAGCTTCTTCATGGTGAGGGTGACAGAACACTGGAACAGGCTGCCCAGAGGGGTTGTGGAGTCGTCTTCTCTGCAGACGTTCAAAACCCGCCTGGACGTGTTCCTGTGTGACCTGATCTAGGTGTTCCTGCTCCAGCAGGGGGATTGGACCAGATGATCTTTCAAGGTCCCTTCCAATCCCTAACATTGTGTGGTTCTGTGATAGTGTATTTTCTGTAATAATTACAGATGGTCTCATATATAACATTGCTTTTAAGCAGATGTATAATTCCAGTAATGTATAAAGATCGAATCACATGTTTAAAGCCTCAGACTGGATGTTTAATGCCCCCCTTTTCTCATAACAGCATACAGCCTAAATGGGATGATTTGAAAGCCATAAAAACATGAAAGATAACATGTGATCCTAAAGAAGACAGATGGAAGAAAGAATAAAATGTTGAGGAAACAAGATAGGCTTCCATCTCATAAACAATTTTTATGTATTTAATACTGAGCTACATTTATTATATAGGACTTGAAAATTAAAGCCGACATGCTCAGCAGAGTACTTCATACACAAGGAGAGTGTGAGACAGTCGTGAGCACAAATGTGATGATTAAACGTCGTGGGCTTTCTGTTTTCACAGCATGGGAGAAGTGTGAAGGAGCATAGAGCTGACAAGAATTCCTGAGGGAAGCCTCGAATCAGCGGGACACATGAAAAAATGGACAAGGGGAAAAGGAAAACAACCAAAGAACGGGCACAGAATTGCGATTACTGAACAAAACCAACCAACCATAAATAAATAAATAGATAGATAGATAAAAAATAACAGCAGTTGAAACAAAATGGGGGGGAAAAAACTAAAAGCCCATCGTGTGGGGGCTGCGACACCCTGCCAGCGGCGGGGCAGGCACCCAGGGGCCGCTCGCTCCCTTCCCGCCCGCAGGCAGGGCCGGGGCGGCGCTGAGGGGGGCTCAGCCCCAAAGCACCGGAGGCCGCCGCGGGGACCCCTGGCACCTCGGTGGGTGCCGTCCCGGGGCTGCGGGGCACTACAGCGGGTTTGAGCGGGATGGCGGCGGCGCCAGGCGGCAGAGGGCGCTGTGTGACGGTGCCGCTGCCCCTTCCCGGCGCGGCCTCTCCTCCCTGCGCCGCCACTGCCGCCGCCTCAGCCGGCGGGCGGGAGAAGGCGGACAGAGGTGGCCGCCATGGCGCTGCCGGTGCTGTCGAGCTCGGGGGTGAAATTCCGGCGGGTCCTGGCGCACTTCCCCCAGGAGCTCAGCCTGGCCTTCGCCTACGGCTCCGGCGTCTTTCGGCAGGCGGGGCCCTCGGCCGGGCACAGCGAGGTGAGCGCGGCTGCCCCCCCCCGCCTCCACGCCCCTCGTAACCTCCCCGGGGTGGCCGGGGGCTGCTGGGGCCGCTGCGGCTCGGGCACGGGGAGGGGCGGGGGAGCGGAGCCGGCCCGCAGCCACCGGGAGGGGCCGGGCAGGGGGCGCCGGGGGCCGCAGGGAGCCGTGGGCCTGTGGCTGACAGTCCTCGAGGGCAGTTAGGGGTTCAGCTGCCCTTTTGTCGCGTACCTGGGAACCCTGCTTCACAACACAGCTTTGCATTTTTTTAGCTTTTACGTTTTGGTTATAAGGAAGTGCCCGGGCTCGTTCGTGCTGTCCGCAGGATGCGGGTACCTGAGGCAAAGCGTGTTGTTACCCAGGGCTTCTGGGTGCCCACGTTTGGGGTCAAACCACCTGGGAACAGCTTGGGATCTCCCCGTGCCTGCATCTGACTTCTTAAAGCAGCTCATGGGCTGCGTTGTGCATTCACACTGGCCTGTTAAGCATGCTCCACAATTGGGGCTTTAAGTGTTGCTTACTTCCAGAGCAGGAAGTCTAAGGAATTTGAAGCACTATTACTCAAAATATTGGTTTACGGTAGGGATGAGTGGTGATTTTGCAGCTCCTCTGTGCAAAGGGATGTGTGGACAGTATTCTTTGGGAGAGCAGCACAGTGCTGAATGTTACAAGTTAATGTGTGTGGATCGCTTTGTTAATAAAAGCAAGTACAGTAGAAGTACAGTTTCTTGATTTCTGTGTGCCCTCATCTCCCAGTTTGTGGCCGTGTGTATTAGCAAAAGTTCTCTTCATTAGCAGTCCCAGCTATTAGGCTTAGCTGGGAAGTGGTGCTACTGAGACCTTGTCGTGTGTTCCCGGTGTTATGGAAGGCTGAAGGTTGGCGGTGTAACAGGGAGGGCAAGGAAAATTTTGGACCATCACTGGTGGAGTGACCTGAAAAACATACAGCTCCATTGTAACCTTCAAGTTGTGTCCAATGTTAAGCCTTGTGCGTTCGATCTTGTTTTTAATTAAGTGACCATTATTAGCTGGTAGCTAGCTTATTATGCAGGTATTGGATTAATGTGATTAACATTGTTTCCTTCCTGATATGAAAACCAGTACTTTTCTCTGTATCCACAGAACAATATGCTGGACTTTGTGTTTGCAGTTGATGATTCGGTGACCTGGCATATGATGAACTTATTAAAGAACAAGAGTCATTATTCCTTCCTAAAAGTTTTTGGGCCAAAACAGATAAGTAACATACAGAGCTATGGAGCAGGGATTTACTACAACACTTTAGTGCCATGTAATGGTAGGGTAAGTATGAGTTTTAATAAGTTAAATGTTTGTGCATGAAATATTGAAATGATTAGCTTAAAGCAGATTTCTGTGCAGGAAGCACATCTGATAGACTGCAATTGATGCTTAATTGGTGATATTTTCAATATTTAGGTCTCAAACTGTTTCACAAATATCATACTAATTAAAAAGCAGCTGTTCTAGCACTTTACAAACATGGGTAATGTTTGAAATTCACAACTAAAGCACTTCAGAACCTGAATTTACATTCCTTATCACTTCCAGTTTTGCCAGTGGCCATACAGTAGTATATCACTGCTTTGTGTTGGGGGGGGAGATGACGACACAGCCTTCAATTCAGCAGTTGACCACATAGTAATAGCAAACTAGATCCTTTCTGTTTGTTTGACATAAAACAAACAAATAAACAAAAACCACAGGTGTTTAACATAGCAAGCTGTAATTGACATCTGTGTTGTTTAATGGCAAACATCTTTACCTGTGATGTTTGGGTACAGTTAATCATTCCAGGCAAGTAGTACTTGTCCAGCAAGGCCTACACCACAATTATGTGTAGACTGTATTTGGAAAGAGGAGTGCAGGAAGGAGGCAGGGGAAGGAAGTGTGTATTTCTGTTTATTGGTGCTGATTTAGACTAATTTTTGCCATGTGGTAACAAACTGGATGTAACAGAAGCAAGTTCTGTTAAGAAAATTGGAAGTTACATGAAGGACAGTTGTGGGAAAAATGCCGTTTGTACAAACTGAAGTTTCTCAGAGCACGAAATTGCAGTAACGTTGGCTACGTGTCAGAACTCTTCATATGATGCTGGAGAGCTAGTTTAAAAAAATTACTATATACTTGCAATTTTGTTTAGGTATCTGGATGAGGCAAGAATTTGGAGTTTAAACTTTGTTCTCTTTACATCAAAATTTATTTTAGGGATCAGTTACCTTTGTGATGCAATTTGGTTCTTTCTGGCTCTGTATACGCCTATCTAATAACTAGTTATATCACAGTCTGTGGTCCTTTGTTATCCAGAATTTCTGAACTTGGCTGCCTTGCTTTGGTGATAATCTTTGGAAACTCAGGATGTGCAAACTGGTAACTGTTAAGAGGTCATCTTACTTCTTCCATAACATCAACTAAAAAATCACAAATTGTTTTCTAGCATCAAAGAGTTTCTAAAAATAATAATAAAAGCTTCCTGATACTTCTTCCCTTCCCCCAGTTACAGTATCCATAAATGTCTTTATAATTTATTTCAAATTGCTGACAAATTCTTCATTATTTTTCATATCTTCATAGGAAATCCTTCAATTCTTCATATCTTCTTTTTTTTTTTTTTTTTCCATTATATCTCTTGAGAGATACTGTGGAGTATTCTAACTACTGCATAGTTTTGCTGGTGTAAAACTAAGTGTAACTTAAATCTTTTAAAGAACAGATTCATTTTAATGTTCAAATTTCTTCAGGTCAGTCTCTATCTAGACTAGGTTACTTTAGGATTTGAAGAACATTTTCCTTCAGGAATTGATCCGGGAATAGTTTTATTGGAACTTCCTTTCCAGAAAGGATTTTAGAGGGTCCTTTGTGTCTTCCATTACACTTTTTTTTTTTTTTTCCAGAACACTGCATGCAAGTGTGACTTTTTTTTTTTTTTTTTTTTACTGCCTGTGTTTTGGTAGATGCCCATGCATTGGTTTTCTTTAAAACTTACTTTACTTAAAAATTCTAGTTTGATTTTGGAACTCCTTTATCTTGTTTTAGGCTATCAGTGTTGCTATTTGACTTCTTTTTTTTTCTAGTAAGTAGTTGCATTGCTCCTTCTTCTTGTATTGTGTTCTTGCTTTCTTCCAATTATCCTGTCTTTTTTTTTTTTTTTTTTTTTAACTAAAGAAATACAAAAAGCCCCAAACCAAGCTTACTATGGAGCTACGTCACTTAAGTGGCTCTTCTTTGTATGATGCAATTATCTAAGAGCAGTTCTCTAAGTGTTATCAAAGAGATGCTTTTATGGTAAAGGTATATTAGAGAATAATTTTCAAATACTTGGGAGCAAAAACTGATTAAGAAAGAAGATGTAGACAGTAAAATGTTTTTAATTTTATGTGTGCAATATTGTATTGGAGGTGTATGTTCCTTAGAATTAAAGGCAGTTACAGAAAATAGTAAATTTCCTGTAATGAAAACAGTGCAGCGATACGATTGTTCAAAAACATTTATTTTCCTTTTTTTTTCTCCAGATGATAAAATATGGTGTAATTAGCACTGATGCCCTGATTGATGATTTACTTCACTGGAAAACCCTCTATGTTGCTGGACGCCTACAAAAGCCGGTAACTATTAGTTATCTCTTGAAATGCAGGAAATTACAGGGATGCAAAATTACCAGTTGTAGTTCTAACTTCAACTGTTCGTGATCTATGAGTCAGTACTGAAGGGATTGTCTGCCCTGATTTAGGGGTCTAGTCCTACTAGATGGATAATCTCTCAGAAAGAGAGTGAAATATAGACCTTACTAATATTCTGTGTTACATGGAAAAAAATAAAGTTAGTTATATTAACAATAGTTTTCTGCCCGTAGTAAATCTTAAGGAACTGGATTATGCTAACTCAGAGTGCCTTAAAAATTTAAATATTACATTTAACATTAATTTACACTTAAATAAAAAATAACAGGAGTCACCAATATTTAATGCAGTTCATAGAATATCCTGATTTGGAAAGGGACCATGAGGATCATTGGGTCCGACTCCTGGCTCTGCACAGGACCACCCCAAAATTAGACCCTGTGTCTGAGAGCGTTGTCCAAACACTGCTTGAACTCTAGCAGGCTTGGGGCTGTGACTGCTGCCCTGCAGAGCCTATGCCAGTGCCTGACCACCCTCTGGGTGCAAAACCTTTCCCTGTCCCAGCTCCACGCTGTTCCCTGGGGCCCTGTCGCTGTCCCCAGAGAGCAGAGCTCAGCGCCTGCCCCTCTGCTCCCCTCGTGAGGGAGCTGCAGCCATGAGGCCCCCCCTCAGCCTGCTCTGCTCCTGTCATGAGAAGACTCCCTCTAGAGCCTTCACCATCTTTGCTGCCCTCCTTTGGACACCGAATAATACTTCCTTTTACTGCCGTTTCTTTTACTGTGGTGCCCCAAGAGTGATTGCCCAGCTCTCTTAATTTGTCAGGATCTCTCTGCAAGGTATCACTATCCTCAGTGTAGTCAGGAGCTCCTCCCAAGTTAGTGTCATCTGGAAACTTAAAGTTGAGTTAAATAATAGAAGCCTTTAAAGGTGAAAGCTGCTTTGCTCTGCAGCTACCGTCTAGATCATTCTCTTGTTAAATATCTACAGTTAACTGAAACATGTAAAGAGCATTGTTGTCTTTGCCAAAGGTGTCTGATTCAGTGTGCTTTCAGCAGATGGCAGCAGTGCCAAGTTAAATTTTCTTGGGGGGGGGGGGGGGGGGGAGGAATGGGAAATAGGAGGTGACACCACTCTCTGCAAGTCATAGAGCAGAAGTTAATTATGCTCTTAATGAATAACTTAGGATGCAACTTTAAATAGGTTGTCAGAGCGCAACTGACTTTTCCTCATCTCCAGTGACTTATTGTGGCATTGTGCAGATTAGAACAGCTGCTGTCTTTATATGGAATAAAACTAAACACATTGAACAGCTGTTACATTTATAAAGAATAAAATTAAACGCATTGAGGAAAATTAACTGAAGGAGTTTCACTTCAACTATGAATACTGATTGTTTATTTTCAGCGTAACTACACTTGCTGCTGCTTTGATTTATTTTGGGGTTTCTCAGTACATATAAAATGGGCTTTATGTCTTCTGATTAAATTCAGTAGGAGTACATACTCGCACAATAAGTATAATTTGGTATTTCTCTTGGTTGCTAACAAGAGACAGATATATCTTCATGCATATGTGTTTAATAGATAAAATAAGGAATTGGTACAAGTTATTTTCATAAAGCTCATAGGAATTTGCACTGGATAAAGGCTGTAGGATTTAAAATAGAAATTGACTGAAAGATTATGTGGTGGGTGTTTAAACTGTCTCTTCCTGTAGGGTCTGTAATATCACTATCTAGGATTTTACAATGTTACAGTGTGTTTGCAGACATTCCCCAAAATGTATTTAAATTTGTTTTTACAGGTTTCAAACATCTGCTCTTCCTGTTTTTGCATCTGATTTGATTGTTTTGATAAACATGCTGTAAGTGATAGTGGTAGAAAGATTTTCTTCCTCCTTAAAAATGTACAATAAGCCTCTTTTGGAGAGATCGGGTTGGGTTTGTTTTTGTATTTCCTATAATCTCTTACATGCCATTTGTGCCTAGTTCTGGACACAGTCGACTGAGGCCAGAGTAATTTTGTTTTACAGTTTGGGAATTTTCTTCTCAGTCATGTAGACGAGAAAGAGCTCGGTGCCTTTCTGGTGTTCCGTTACAAATCTGTCGCTCTGTGAGTAAAAGCTAGCCAAGTTATTCTAACACATAAGATGAAACATTCTCTGCCTTAGGAATCTTGGTGTCATTTTTACTGGAGGTTTTGTTTCTGTTGTAGGCTGATTGCCTTGACCAAGTAATCTTTGCAGGATGTTTGGCTGAATAGATGGAGTTGTCATTTAGAAATGCTACTTTTTTTTCACAGGCTTCTTTGTTTGTGTTAAAAGTTTGTTGGCTTTTCATGCTAAATTAAATTTAAAACTCTGGTATACTAAATTACTGTTTAACTGTATTGAAAATTTGAATAAACTTAGTTGTAATTTCTTCATAACTGACAGGTTCCCTGAAAAAAATGCTGTTGTAACTAAAAAGTAGAACAAACAAGGACAAGTGAAACATAACTGTGTTTTCAGAGGAAGATTTTTAAAAGCACCTGAAGTGCTACTGAATTTTTGTTAAACATAGTGTTAGTGATAAAGGAGTTGTATTTTACTGTTATCCTTCCAAAGCCATTAAGAGAAGTGTTTAATAAATTGAAGTGAGGTGAGGGTGGAGTATGAACAGTATATAGAAGTACTTTGTACTACTTAAAGGAGGGTTGGGAAATTTAGGTTTTTTGTGTTGCAGAAATTCCCACAAAGGAGTAACAGAGCAGTAGTTTGCAGAATTTCCCCATTGTCCAAATACTTTAAAACATTCTTCGAAAAACAATGGAAAAATCCTCTTCCTGTGATGTTTAGCAGAGTGTAGGTGTAGCTAACTGGCAAACTGGAATAGTACTCTTGAAACCTCTCATTCTATGATGAGATTTTCTTCTTGTATTTTGTTTGTGTGTATCTTTCCGTGCAAATGCTCACAGTTTCTTAGGTATGAATTTCCTAGCAGTGAAAATAGAACACTTCTTTCTTAAAGCTGTTGTGTTGGTGAAGTGGGAATAATGCTTATCTATAAAACTGAATATATCCCTCACTGAAAACTATTTAATAATTTAAAAGTCTTAATTGTAGTGTTAGATAAGTGAATTTCATGTATAGTGTAAAACCAGAAGTAAATGGGACTCTCTTCCTCTCATGTGGTGTGAATAGTTCTGATCTTAATTTCTCTGTATTGTGAAACAGTTTTCCTTAACTGTGGGCTTTTTACAAATTTACCCCCCAATAATTGCACTCTATTTTCCTGTGTTTTCTAGCTCTCTGGTCTGTTTGAATTTTGTTCCTAAAGAGTATCGCTGTGGCAGTCCTTTATGCTTTTAAATATTGAAGCCTTGCATAGTGCTTCCCATAGAGGGGAAAAAAAAAAAAAATCTGATGTATGTTAAGGAGTATTTTGAGTGAAGGAGATTACTCTTTTCACTGAAGCCAGCCTGTGGCCTTCCACAAGGAGGACTAGCACCACAGGCTTTGCTTTTCTGCCTGTCTTTATTGCTTTGTTGTAGCAACGATCTATGAAAGTGGATATAAGTGAATTAAATGGAGATTTTAAATATTAGTTTGTCCTCATGACCAGATCCAATTGTTTATTGGATCGTATTTGAAAAAGTCAGTATGCATTCAGTAAACTTCCCTGTTTCTCAAGGAAATCAAATTTATTCAAGGCTTCCCAGGAGATGAATTTACAGTAGTTTAGTGTGTTTTATCATTGTCCTTCATTTTAATGCTACGAAATACAAAGCAATTAAAAAAAAACACCCTGGACCAATTCCAGACTGCTGTATAGACTTAATGTTAGGCAAAACCATGCATTAGTTCAGAAAGCTTGAGATGAGCAACCTCTATACTGTTGAATTTACCACCACAGCAAAGTTCTAGTTTTACACTTTCAAAGACTTTGCCACAGGGAGAAATAAAGTTCTGAACATACTATCAGCCATCCCAGGCATTGCCTTGTTGATGTCCATTCAATAAGAAGAATTTTGTGTGGCAGCTAAATCAGATTCTTAATTTTTCTTTTTTTCGTATTTAATCTGGATTCATTTTCTTAATCTGTTAATATTTATACCAAACGAAAATATTTACTTGAAATGATACCTTAGCCTTTCCAGGTTATATTTTGTGGGCAGAACTTCAAGTTTTATTGCGAATCATTTGCATGTGGGCTTCTGGGGGAGAAAAAAAAAATTGGGTACGTTTGTTCATAACTGCTGGTGGATTTGCATTTTCATATATTCTAGAGTAAACAAATATTAATAAGCTGCCCTTTATAAGAAAGACAGTATTGCCCAACCTGAACCCTTAAAAATGAAAGAAACTTACAACAGGAAGATACTCTTGGGGGAGTCAGTTTTGAAAGGGCACAGTCAGTCACCTTATAAATTGGGCTGACTTTATCTGTCTAATGTTCTATAGTAATATTTTTCTATGCTGACTTCTGACTGAAGATCTGCTTTTTATTACAGTATATTTCCATATCCTAGATTACTGGATTCTGTAGTTGGTCTTGAACAGTTTGAATGTTTCCTGAAGATAAACTTGTCTTTGTGGCATTTGGAATCATCCAACTTCAGTGATCCATTCACATGTATGTGAAGTTCCCTTTGCAGTGACGTTCTCCTCATACAAAGTGCAAAATAAAACCCTACTTCTCCTAGGAGGAGAGCTAATGTCTAAGAAGCTGCTTCAACCATATGGTAGAGCACCAGCAAGGAGTCCTCTATTGGAAAAAAAGGTATAGGGAAGGTGAATAGGAAAACTGCTGTTTTTCTGGTATACCATTCTCTTTCAGTGTGACAGTGGTCTTTTTTCCTATTGCATAATACCATGTGAAATATTTTTGATTCGTTTAAACTTACTGTTTTGATTAATCCTAAATTCATGAGCATGAAAAAGGTGAATAGCTCTTCAGAGAATAGTTGATGGCTGTTGCTTACAACAGTTCTGAATATGTTTGTAAAAACAGCCTTTTGTAGCAGACTATTAGATCTTAGAAAGAGTTCCCCTATCCCACTGTGTAAACAGAAGATGACACTTAGGTCTTTTCTGTACAATAATAATAGGATCTAATTCAAATTTATTATTTTTCATGTTGGGTTGAGTAAAGTTTCTAGCTCCGTCTTCAGTAGCACTTTCCTGAAGTCTTGCTTCCAATTACTCTGATTTTTTCAGGTGAAAATACTGACACAGAATGAGAATGGCAAGCTGCAAGCTGCGCTTGTTAGCAATCTGAAGAGTGCAGTCACAGCAGCCTTTCTCATGTTACCAGAAAGTTTCTCTGAAGAAGACCTCTATATGCAGATTGCAGGACTCTCCTATTCTGGTTAGTATATGGTGTCTAAAGTCTCTGAGGAGAAAAGCTGTAGTTAGAGCTATTGTACCACATGTATGGTGTGCAAGTAGTAGTGAGTCTGATACGTAGTAAATCAGATGTTCTTTTGATTTGGACCTACGCTTTCACATGCTCCACTAGCTATATTTTACTGCTGGGTACATAACACTTTGGAAAGGCTGTGTGTATTCGTCGAGGGATAGGTAGAGGTACGTAAGCAAAACTGTTCTTGATTTACAAGCACCTAGGTATGGATGATTGGTTGTGGTGAAATGAAGTGATATATAAAAACAAACCAAACCCCTTGTTCCAAATGAGCCTTTAAATCCACAATTAATTGTATGAAAATTATCATTAAAATAAAACTATGAAAATTAAGTATTACTCTTAAAACATTGACGTCTTTATTGAAATAATTAGGAACAAGTTTGCTTGGAATTGCATTTTACACACCACTTCCTTTGCTCATATAGAAATGCAAGCTTGGCCTTGCATTCCTTTTTTAACAACCAACCAACCCAAAACATACACTGCATTTATAAACTGCAGGTTAGTTCCACTGAGGAGTGTTACTATTCTGTACATAGTATTTCCCTGGTTGGTTTAGATTGCAATTTGCTCAGATTTTCCATAGCATTTTTTTTCTGAACCATTATCTCTTTGAGTGATGATGAAGGGTTGCACACCCCATGTGTTTGCTACCTGCCTCACCTGAAACCTGTTCAGGAATGTCATTAGATTCTTAGTGGGCACCAGTGACTAAGATATTTTATGGGTATCCTTTGAAACAATGCTATTAACCAGAAAATTGGCAGATCGGTTAGCATGCTATGAGATGTTGAAATTGATTCTGCTGGGTGAATACAGCTAAAGCAATAACACTCCCAGGCAGGCATGCTCAAGGAAAGAGCTGTCAATGACATGTTTGTAGATATTTTATTCTGCTGCCTTCTTGCTAAGTCTTAAACTTTTCAGGCGGGATTCTAGTAGACAACACTGATTTCTGAGTTACTCTAATCAGTCTCCTTGCAGTACATAACTGCTGAAAAGAGTTGTTCATGCTTTAATTTGGGAAATAATTTTTTGTTGCATTTTGAAAGCGGTGAGACAGTGTCTGGAAGTACTCTGGGAAGTTTTTATTAGTTTTGCTGGTTGGCATAAATTGAAATTAAGTAATGCTAGCAAGTTGCCACCTTGCAACAACATTTATCTCCTAACGGTGGAAAGTATGACAATGAATTGATTCATGATTTTGGACAGCACTGAGCTTCTAACTCCTAGTTTGTAATTTTAGATGCTACCAGGGTGTAATACCTAGCAGAGGTAGGTAAACACTAATATAGGTTGTCTTTTCACTGACATTGGAACTTCTTATTAGAACATGTCACAAAGTATATCTTAAAAGGAAGTGTAAAGGTGAGTAGAGTAGCAGTGGTGTTGAAAGGAGTTGCTTTTCCAATCTAACAAAGCAGTTGTCTAAGAGAAAAAGGGACGTTGTAATCTGACCATGGCTGCTACTAGCTGTATTTCAAGTGTTGTCCTTGAAGTGCAGAGATAATGCAGATTATTTTCTTTCAGAATTGGAAAAATGAAGGTTATTTGGTTTTGGATACCAGGTGTTGGGGCTGGTTACACTAATACTGTTTAGTAACCCATTGAAATTGAATGATTGGAAAGGATGTAATTGTGTTTCTGCTGCTTTGGAGACTACACTTGGAAGTTGGAATTTTTTGTTATGTAAGTGCAAATGCGGATGCATGGGTTGATGTTACAGCATATCAGAGGCCACATCACCGTTCTGAAGTTTCTTTTCTGTGCTTGAAGTTATTTGGATGGTATTTTTTGACTGTGAGAAGACAAATCTTATTGATTAGATAGAATTGAAGAATAAAGAGTTTCAGATGACAGTTTTGTACTGTGTTCATTTCTGTTGTATTTTCCTTATTTGGGTTTTCAGTTTTGCCCTAATGAATTAACTGTTTTTCTTTTCTTGACTAGGTGACTTCAGAATGATCATAGGAGAAGACAGATCGAAAGTGCAGAACATTGTGAAACCTAATGTTCCCTATTTTCAGAAGCTGTACAGTAACATATTGCAGGACTGCCCTCAAGTGGTGTATAAGCACCATCTGGGAAGGCTAGAGGCAAGTGGTTTTCTTAAAAACACTTAAAAAAAAAAAAAAAAAAAAACGAACAAACAAAAAAAACAACAAGGGGAAATGCTTTATCACATTGACAGAAGGCGAGAATTATGCCACAGTAAGGCACGCAGTTGTAGTCACTATACCTGCTATTATGTTTCTATTGTTGAGTTAATTCTGCAATTGGGGAACTTGTTGTGAATACCAGTCTCTGCATATGTAGTAACTACTGTTCATTTTCTTTGAGCATAGCCACAGGACTAGAGCACTAGCAAGGGAACAAGAGAAGAGCAGTTGAAAATGTGTGGTCTAATGATTACCATATGGAGACAGCAGTCTAGGAAGTGATGAATAAACACATGGTTTGTGTTAAAAAGATGAGGCCGTAACTTAGAGGTGCAACTTTCTGCAGTCAAAAAGTGTATTTAAAAAAAAAAAAGAAAACCCTCTTGTGCTGGTTATGAATATCAGTTGAATAAAACCAACTGAAATTCTGGCATTATCTTTAAATACCCATACTCAAAAAAAAATCTCTTCCTAATAGTCAGAAAACAGGTGTCCAGAATGACCACTGTCTTGAATTCCATCCTTGTGGCTTAAGGTATAAGTGAAACATGGCAATTAGGGGTAGGATGTCACAGTTGGGGGGGGCTTTTAGCAATTTTTCTCTTGTAGTATGCGCATCTTTGTGCTAATATTCAGCTGTGATATACATTTCAACATTAAGTTACAAATAGCATGACTTGTCTCATGGACATGAGTTCTCTGTACTCAGGGTCACCTTGGTAAGCATCTCACTAATGCCTCCTTTTAGGATGTGTCTGTTAGAAACTGAAGGAAGCTGTTAGAGATACAAGCAAGTTTGAGTATAGTAAACATTTCTACTGCAGTTCTTTGGAGTACTGCAAAGGCAAATCTATATTATGCTGCAGCTGTCTCCATGTTTTCTTAACAATGTACTTTCAAATGCTTTAACAGAAATATTTAAATGAATTTTGAAAAGAACTAATGCTGCTTCCTCCAAGAAAATGACTAGTTAGAATACTATTCCCTGTTACATTACCTTGGAACAAAATCTGGTATCATACTAGAAATATATTGTTAGATAATACATCTGTTTGGAATTCCGTACTAGTCATTGAGGCTGTGGATGAAATGCCATCCTTTTACTGTTGTATTGAGTATATACTGTTGTATAGTTTATTCTTCATGTTTTGTGGTGGTTATTTGCCATTATTCCCCAGACTGAAATGGATAACTTCTATCTGGAATGCTGCTTAACAGAGAATAGAAACCACCCTCTCCAAGGACACATCTTCAGAATTACAGAGAAAAATCTTTTTTAGAAGATTCCTTAGAAACAATTGAAGTCAGACACTAGTTCTTATAGTTCTGTTTCAGGCATGGATTCCTCCCACATAATGTTAAAAGCCTGTGCATTGTTGACTCCCTCTGTAGTCAGTGGGTGATTCATCTGGATATCATTTTCTTCCCATTGACTAGAGGGAGTACAGGACAACTAAACTCCTGACCGATGCCTCCAAGAAATGTGTAAAAAGATGTGTGGGAGTACTCAGACTCTTAATGTTTTCCCCCCATTTTGGAGAGCCCTTTCCCGTTAAACATTTTTCAATATTTGTGCTTACGTTTTGTATCAACATGTACAGGCCTGCATGTTGGTATCATTGTATTCAAAACAGGGTCACTGAATTTCTGATTTAGATTGGAAAATGTGAAATGAATGTTTCCTTCAAATTATTCAAACCAGATGTGGTTTGTGTTTAAAGAAGAGAAAATGTTTTTCAAAGTAAACTCTGTGTGTGTGTTTGGTTTGATTATATTCAGCAGAAGAAACAGAGCTAAGTGGTCTTTTGGGAACATTTTCTCTCATTTTCATCTTCTTATGTTCCAGAGGAAATTGGATAGAGCAGAAATGGTACAGTTTCAATGAGAAGTTTCTTGCAGGGGCAGTAAGGTTCTGTTTATACGTTAGGCTTCCCTTGGATGGAAGTTAACGTCTTTCCATTGAGTTATTCTTCCAGTTTAGAACTGGGACACTGCGTTTGCCAGCACATGGAGAGTTTTCATTAGCATTGTCAATAACTTTTACATGTGAAATTGATAGAGTTCTCTGAGGTATTTATCACAGGCCAAAGATAGCCAGAAGACTTTCTTGATTTCTTTGAATAGAAATTGCTTTGTTAATGCTGAATTTTTGTTTTTACTGTCTTATTTTTTAATAACGTTCAGATTGATAAAAGCCCAGAAGGTCAATTCACACAACTCATGGCTTTGCCAAAGAATCTGCAACAAAAGATAACTTCTCTGGTAGACCCTCCTGGAAAAAACAGAGATGTGGAAGAAATTTTACTGCAAGTTGCGCATGACCCTGATTGTGGATTAGTGGTGCATCAAGGTAGGCCTGTCTGTAATCCCCTTTAAGACATGATAGATATAAAGATTTATGGTATATGTTCTTCTAATTCAGAAGGATGATTTAGCCAGAATGAATAAGACAATAAGAAGTTAATCTTGTAATAAGTTTTTAAAAGCGTATTCTACTGTTTGATTGCAAACAAGGTCCCTGAAGTAATGGAAAATACCTTTCTATATCAATAGAAGTGCCAAGAGTTTTATTTTGTATCTTGAAAGAAATAGTCTCTGACCTACTTAGATTATCTAACTGCGGGATGCTTCAGGATTTCATTGGCTGGTATAACTTCATTTAAATATTAAGCTGTATATTCTCCCAGTCATACAATGTGGTGCTGTATTTTCTAGCTTGCTGGCATTACCCTTTGCAATTAATAGTTCGTCCAGATATCTGGTGCTCTGGCAGAGAACTGAAGCTTTGAGGAAAAAGATTGAGGTGCTTCTCATCATCACAGGTAGCTTCTCTGAGATAAGGTTGTTGTACAAGCAAGTTAAAGCTTATTCTGCAGAATAACTATTCTGTTATTCTGCAGATAAATGAAAACGTTTAGTACTCGAACAGTCCTTCGTACTTTGATACATCTTAGATCCAGGCAGCGATTTTGCAAGCTCTTTGAGCATCGATGTGTGGATGCCTGAGAGCCGCAAGACAGGAGCCAACTGCAGAGGGAGCTCTTGCACTGATTTCTCTTTTGGGGTGTGGGTGTGGGAGGAGAAAGAGTCTCAGCTCTCTTCTGCATAGACAGTCTAGGACGCATTGCACCTGGCCATCTAGGATGTCCAGCTTCTTTTATGTCAGTCTGTCAGCTCTTGTGCTACTGGGGATGTACTGCAACAGTAGTGTGATAATAGCTGTATCTGGGAGCAGGCTGTGAGTTTTACAACTCTGTTGTCCACCCTGAGCTACTTATTCTGCTAGTTGTACTTATGTGGATATTACAGGCATGGCTGATATTATGGTTTGTGGACAGGAATGCAACACTTAAATGTCAAAACGTTTGATAGATCCAGTCTTCTCCAGCCAAGCAGTTTATACTCTCAGAAGGACAAATCAAAACCTCTCTTTCAGTTTTGTTGCCAAAGGAATTTTCTCATTCAAGCATTTGGATAAAGAGCAGAGAAAACCATTTGGTAATCTTACCAGGCTAAGCTGAGTGCTCAAGTTGAATTACATTTTCCCTAGATGTTTTACTAGCTCAGCATGACTTGTTCCCCCATCCCAAAAATAAATAAATAAAATTTATGCATGTGGAATATTGTATTCCTCTTACTTGTTCCTGGGTATCCTTAGGTTTTGCTCTTTACAGAAGTGCCTTTGAAAGAAGGTTTTAGAAATAATACTGTACTCTATGTTCTGGTTAATGCAGAAAAATAACTTTCAGTTTGGAAGGCTAACTCTGGGACTGCTACCTTCCTTCATTTTTAAGTATTTGATAATGTACAGTACTTTTGTTCTGCACATATCAGTAGGCTTTTATGCATTAGCGCAAATATAAATTCTTAAAGCTTTTATTTTCTTGTATGTATCATTTTATACGCTATTCCATTTACACCTAAAGACCTCTGGAGAATGGAAACTGAATGTGCTGCAGTGTGAAGTGGCAAACGAGTGTTGTCTCCAAAAGTCAATTGTTTAAAAAGCTAGTCAGAGGCTGTACAATATAAACATATCTACTTGACAAGAGAAGTGCAAAATCCCAATTTCATACTGACGTAAACAATGAGTATAATTTGTTCTGATCTAGGCAGTGCTTAGATGGAACATAACTCTGGAACATAATTATGAATCCTTTGACTGATCATTTTAGAGAAATAGTGTGAATGCTAGATGAATGAATTGCATCATACACAACTTCTGAGATGGATAACATCTGTATGCTTTTCTATCTGCAGGCATTTCAGGAATTGTGAGATCTTCTAGTATAGTGCAAAGTGCTAAAACCATACTAACAGCTGGTAAGTATGTGTGTGACTTCTATCCATGTAGGCTTTCTGATTTTACAAAGTAAAATTTTTAGGGCCCCAAGATTGCCTTGCTTGAGAGTTTAAAGAAAAAACTTTTTGGGTGCCTAATGACAATATTGGAAGTTTATGGAAATAAGAAATAGATATTTCTGCTTTCAATAACTATTGAGGAATTGTAAAACGTCAAAAGGAATTGGAGTCTACGTGACTTCAATAACAATAAAAAATAATAAAAAAGGACAAACCAAAACAACAAAAATCTTCGACTTCACTTTCCTTTTATATTTATCTGATGTGCACTGCTTTTGCTCTTCTTTTATTTAAAAAAAAAAAATAATCATAATTCCCTCTGATCTTCTACATGTGGTTGGATCCCTAAATGATCAATACATTGTACTGATGTTATGTAGACTGTCAGGTTAGCTCATTATAAAATAGGGGTTGAGTGTACAGTGAGAAGAGTTTGACAGGATCTGAAGTTTCTGTCCGAGTTCAGAAGACATGTGTGTTCAGATACCTTCTGTACTCCAAACTAAACTTATATACTTTGTGAGTATTGGATATTACTGTAACTCTCATAGTTCAGAAGGAATTACTTTAGAAGGAGAGTCGAGTGTTAAAAGTCAGTGTGAGAGAAGATGTAGAAGGCAAAAAAGGGCTTTGTAGAAGCATGGGAAAATGAGGGATGTTTTTCAGCTACCAAAATCCTCCTAACTGAACAAAAGTTACTGCCAATTACCTAGCTGAAGCTTCATCCTGTCTTTCTGAGTTCCGGAACAAATCTAGTTTTAAGATGCTCTGTTTTTTACATTTAAGAAGCTGAATGAACTGCACCTCAATTCAAAAGAAAGGCTTAGAACCTGAGTCTTCATTACCTTAAAAACAGACGAACTCATAATCTTATTTTAATTCCTGTAAAATAAAAAAATCTTGTTGCTTGCATGAAGTTGCTCATATTCTAGTCTGACCTCATTCATACCTATGCTATATTTTCCACAAAGCAATTATATACAAGCAATGTCATTACTAGTTTTAAAAGCAGCTTTTATACATTCTTACTAAGTGATCTTTATCCAGATTTCTACACCTGCTGTTCAATTCCAAAGTTGGTTGCACTGATATCTCCTTGTAAGAAGCACAAGTTGCAGTGTTCAGGACCATTAGTGGTTTGCTGCGTAAAGTAAGCAGGAACAGTTGTACTTCTTATGCATCTGTTAATAGTCCAGTTCTATTATGGGAAAGAAGTATAACAAAATTATTGCCCAGCTTTGTACTTGGAGGAGCAGAAGGACATATCTCAATTTGTAAAAGCAAACTTTTGTTGTATGAGCTAGACGTACCACATATGATTTCCTAATGCAAGTTTTCCAACTAAATAAGTGAAGCATTATTTTTAGGATTTGTTGTCAAAATTACCTGCTAATGGTTAAGACTTGCGTTGCAACATGAGGCTTTTAGAAAGATCAGCTTGTAACCAGTCTGTTTCTGAATCCATAGAGAATAGATTTTGTAGAGCAAAATAATTGGAGGGGAGGGGTGTGAAGAGGTGTCACCATGTGTGAATTCAGTGCTTGTGAAAGCCAGCAGCGTGGCTGAGCCATGGAGCAGAGCTGCTTATATGTAACTGAAGGAATGTGAATAAAAGTGGTTAAGATTTGTCAAATTGTTTATGCTCTCCATCTGTCTAAATCGTGATAGACAGAAAATCACCTCTGGGAACTGTTAGCTCCTTTTATGTGTCATTCAGTAAATCGCTTGCAGCCTGTATTGTTACTAGGACTTCTGGGGGGTCCTAATGCATGTTTTTAACAGGATTTGTCATTTTTTACCATATTTTCTGTTTTGTGCACCTGAAATGCCTCCTCTTCACTTTCGTCTTAACTGCTTTTTGCTTTATGTACTGGCTTTTTTTTTTTTGCTTCAGAATAAAATTTAGTTGTCTTCTAACCAGCTAGTTACATAGAATAAATGTAAATAACAAACGTGTGTTTTCTGCCAGTGCTTTTATTGCTGAAAATGCAGCTTTGCAGTTTGATTCAGATCAAGCAAAGCTTGATCCTTTGCTTTGAACACAAGACAAATTTGAGAGAGGTTTGGTGGAGCTTTATTTTTTTACTCTTAGCATGATTTTGTTTGTTTTAACTGTATTAATGCAGTTCTGCCAGAACCTGGCTGAATCTGTTAGGAACTGAATTCAGGATTGATCTCTTCAGGTTACGCAATGACTATGTGCTGAGGGAGATGAGTTAGATTTGAAAAAAGGCCCAGTTCTGGCATTTCCTAGCTCCTGAACGTTGTTTAAGGAATGTAGAGGTAGCCTTCCTGAGCGCTGCTGTGCAGACCAGCCTGGCTGGAGTTGGGGTGTCCTGATCCCCTGGTTAGCATCAATCAGAAGCGTCTGTAACGCGTGCAGGGTGGCCTTACCAGAACCTTGTCAGTTGCATATACTGAAGATGGACAGAAGCAGTAGCTGTGTAAATAAAGCTCTAAATTCTAGTGCATGTTAACGAAGAAATGAAATGTAACTTTTTCATGTTGTGGGTTTTTATGATCTTCGGTGATTTTTTTTTTTTTTTTTTCCCAGGAATTCAGGTTTCCATTTGTTTGGGCTTAGTTAGCCTAGAGGTAGAAGCTTTTTGGGTGTTGTTTTTTTTTTTTTTTTTTTAAATATTTCTCTTCAGACTTTCCTGATTGAGCTTATCTGAAGTCTTGCTGTATCTTCAAATGAAGATCTCTCAGTCGCGGTTTCTTAATTTGAAACACGTGTCGCTAGGGGGCAGGCGGTAATGCTCTTCACGTTGCTTTGCCCTTTGTTGGGGCTTTTATCAGCTACCACTCATGTAGGTAGGTGCACGCTACACACAGACAAAACAGTGTGGATTCTATGTAGAAAGTATTTCTTTGACTCATGGAAGAAGTGTGTATCATAGGAAGGTGTTCAGCTATTAAATTTGATCTCTAGGGGTGCTGCATTTCTTCATTCTTTGACCAAATCTCCTCTAATGTTCTGTGCCCCTGAGAACTATTTGTTTTGTGAAAATTGTGAAAAATTGATTGTGAAATCAGTTTTTCCATTAAATAAGTTCTGCCTATTTTCTTCTTTCTGTTCCTGGTAACTATATAAGTACTTTTGTCCTATGTGTGTACATGTGAACGAATTAATTTTCAATTTGTGGCCATCTTTTTTTTTTTTTTTTTTAATGTTTAGAGGGACACAATTGTCTCCTTAACTGATGCTTTTATCTTAAAAACATAAGAAAAATGTAAAATGCTTGATTTCTGGTCTGTAACATAGTAGTCCAATGTAAAGCATGTGCCTAAATTAAATGTTAAATTGGGAATAGTTGTTACTGAGATGGCACGCTGTGTATTAATGTTGTTGGCAAAGAGCACAGGCAAAATAAAGAATTTCAACCCATTTAGGAGAACTTTTTTCATCTTTCTCTGCCCATTTGGTTTTAGAGTCGAGCTCAAGCTCTATGTTTTTGTTTGTTGTTAAATGCCCTATTTAGTTTTTGAAAGTGTGCCTGTACATTTCTTTTTTTGAGTCTGTGGTAAGCATGCCTCTCTGTTTCCCATTAGAGATGGCACAATCGTTTGATTTATTTTCCCACATACCCAGAGTCTGCACGGTCTTTGGGAACTGACTCTGAAGTTCTTCTGTTTTGCTGTGAAGGAGATGTTGATACTTTAGCTTAAATTTCGTTATATCTTACTAAAGGAATACTGTAAGCCTTGAAAGTGTCTAAAAACCAAAATATTAGGAATGTATCATCACTTGAAGTGATTGCTCATCTTTTAAATTAACACAAACGCTTTTAGCTGCTCTGAATAACATTTGTTTCCTTACAGTTGGGATGTTAGGATACTGTGTCTTCATGGAAATATTTTCTTTAAATTATAAGGAGCAGCATTATATAAAATACTCTGTAGATTTGTAGTAACTTCTCTCTTCTTCAGCTGCCCGAACAAAACAAATACTGCATTAAACTGTAATTCACTGTAAATGTGTAAAACATTTGCACGTCTGTGCATGATATACTAACAATATATAAATATTTGCATCCACTGACATGACAGCTCTTCAGCAGTGAAGAAAATAAAGAATACTGCATCCAGATATATCTAGAGGGAAACTTTGGGGGACCTGTAAGATAGTGCTATATTATAGCCAAATTACTAACACTTCTAATGAAAGGAACATGGGACTTTTAAGCAAAAACAGATACAACTGATGTTTACACTGAAGTTTTGTGGTCTTGATTCCATGTGCATTGGGTCTTTGTTCTCTATCATATAGTGGAAAAATCTAAAGGGGAGTTGGAACCACCAAGCCATAGATTCATAGCTAAAGTAGAAAGACATTTTCATGTGGTCCAACTGCTTCGGATTCTGAGACTGAGCCATAATTACAACCATTAACTTTTACTACAGATGTGACTCATCACCCTGAGGGCTGCTTTAAGAAACCAGCTGTATGTATAAACCTGTATTTTGCTTTGTAGCATGATGTGCTGGGGCAGAAATGTAAGCATCTTATTACATAAGATGCTAGGTTCAAGGCTGTAGTGGGTGGAGTTCGACAGAGTTCTCCCTGCAGGGGGAAAATATGGAGAAAAATCTCTTAATGTCGAGCTGCTGCAAGAGGCAGAGTAGGTTGGCAAGCTGATGGAACAAGCTGACTCGCAGGCTGCAGTGCCAGCGCAGTTAATTACAGTCGTGCAGGGCTGTAGCAGCTGTGTTACTGTTGCTTTGCCACATGCTATATATATTGTGCTTCCACAAGTACACTGACTTCATTGGAATGGCAGAACCTCGATTCTGGCACTGCAACTGCAGTGTTCGAGGGGCTGTATCCTGGAAGTACAGTACCTAGGAGATTGGACAGTAACTGTCAAAGCTATGCAGTTACATAGTTTTAACTTTTGAGATGGGAACCATTTACTTCATTTATGTGCTGTGCCTAAGCTCGGTCTGGCCTTGTTCTGCGGCTGGAATTTGTATACTGCATGTAATTTGAATGCAGATGTGAGAGGTGCTCTGGAACTTACACGATTATTTACTTGTTATTTGAGATGCTGCAAAAGGATAACATCGTGACTTCATTAGTGTGCTTGCTTTTAGTTTAAAAAAAAAAAAAAAATATATAGGAAAGTTTAACCTTACATATGGGATGCACATGATTCTGTAAGTTGAAAATATATCTATGAAGGATGCCTTGCAAAAGCTAAAGTTGAGTTTATTTAAGTTGCAACTAGATAAACTAGATACACAGGTACAAATGATTAAATACAACATATATGTTATGATTTGTTATGAAAGGTTTTTTAAACAGTTGTTCATAAGTATAGCATGTGCTTTTCCACATTACTGTATGCTTATTTGATTTTTGTGACTCTAGACTACTAATAATGAAAGCATCTTTCACTTAAGACTGTTTATCTTTATTTGGTTTATTTTCTAAGGTCTCTTTAAATTCAAACATTGTCATATCCATTTTTCCCTCAAAAGTGCAATGCGATAGCTAAACCTGAGTCTAATTTGTTCCAGAAGATCTTTCCTTGTGTTCTGGTGTGTCATACTGTGGGATTTTTGCTACACTGCTTCTGTGGGCTTTAGTCAATCTTTTGAGGTAACCTGTGTGCTGCTTAATAAACATAAGAAAAACTAGTAAGTAGAGTGTACTGGGAATGGGCTTTCCATCTGTGCGTATAAGCATCAAGACCAAAGAGCAGCATGAAAAACTTCATTTTCAGTTTTGAATTTTTAAGTGTTTACACTTGGTAGCAATCCGGAAAGTCACTGTGTGGTGGTGGGGATTTTTGGAGGGTATTTTTAATTTAAAAAAAATGGCAAAAGCTGGAAGGAGGAAAGCTCCACTGGCTAGGAGCTCAGAACCCTGCTGAAATGCCAAGATGAACAACATCTTAATTTTTCAAATACCAGATGACTAAACCCAGTAAAATGTTGTCTTTTTTTTTTGCTGTTGTTGTTTACAGTAGGTCTGTAGGAGAAGGCTCATGTCTGATAGAAATTCAGGATCTGTCTAACTAAGGATGTGCTTTACAAATTATGTGGGAGCCATCCTCAATCCTGTCTGTCTAAAACTTGTAAAAGCGTGGAGGCGATGGCTGCTGCAAAATCCTTCTGTATCCCTGTGAAAACAGAGAAATGCCTGCCTGCATTGTAGGCCTGGTGTAATGGCAGGGTATTTACCACAGTGCTCTACTTGTGGGTTGCTGTGGGATGATGCCAGAATATCACAGCTACTCCAGCTTAACACGAGGTTTATTATAAGCCAGCACTAGGCAAGTAACTCCGAAGCAAAATTATTCTAGATAACATCCCCGTGAGAAGGTATTCATACCGGTGTCCATAGTGTACTTCTGACACTGGCAGTGTTGCCAAATCGTGGCATCTGTCATCATCTCAGTGTTATTTTTGCTTCTTTGATTTTACCAGGCTTCACCTGGGTACGGTACATGCCTTATTAACCTGGTTCTCCATACCCATCATCATTTCAGTGTTACTTCTTTTTACCTAAGGACACAGATGTCATTTCGTTGTGCAAGTTGAGGAGTTTTGATCTCTTGCAGACGCACTTGTTCCATCAGTTATGAAATGGTAGCTGCCATTAGTTCAGATGAGGCAATAACAAAATACGCAAGGAGGTTATAATGTACTTCACAACCTGTTGAAACCAGAATAGATTTCTACCCTAAGAGTCAGCGGCATGTTTCCTATGAAAAAATGATACTCTTTTTTGCTTCTAATTTGCAAGCTTTTTAATAGCAACACTGTGGGTCTATTTCTCCTTAGGGGTTGAAACTGCCTTGGGGAAACTTCTGGTGGTGTGCAGTGTTAGATTATGTTAAATCAAAATGGGCATCAGTGTGATGCTTTGAAATTGCTGCGGTGCGGTTACACTTCACAACTTTACAACAAGGCAACCAGGTGCCTCTTAAGCTTGGAGCACGGCATCAGGCAAGGCTAACCAAAATCTGCTTAGAAGAAGTTGGGATTTGGAAGCATAAAACTTGTTGTCTACAAGTTGTGTGTAGTTTGCTTGTCTTGCTTGAGCAAACTCTTCTTTTGTCCTGGCTATGTTCTGGTCTCTCTCGCTCTCTTTCTTCCCCATTGTCCCTCCAGTAAAACTTTACCCAAACGTGCGCAGCCAATCTGCACGACTTGGTGGGCTTCAGCCTCTGGAGCAGACTTGCTTCAGTGACTAAATTCCTCATACAGATGTGGCCTGCTCATTAACGTGAATGCATAACAGCCTGGAGTCCTCTAAATAGTTCTGGCTGTGCGTCCTGCTGTATAATACAGGCTACCAGGTTGCTGGGGTCCATTGCCAGGCCAGAATGTGTTCCTACAGAGCTGGGCATGCCAGTAATGTACTAGGAAGGGCTTGAAAAGGACAGTGTGTTGGTTTGGGGAGCATCTGCAGCAGGCACAAATGGTGTAAAAGCCTTTGTATATGTAGCATTTTAAGAACAGTGATAGATGTTACAAGTTTCCATCGCTACTAGTTAGGAGTTACATCATGCATTCCTACAGATGCTGTGCCTTTGCTGCTCTCTGTACGTGTTTGTGTGCAGTGTTGTCAGGTCTTCAGAATGATTCTGTTCTCTTGCTTGCTTTGATACCATTTAAAGTGGCTTTGTGTCATTATTTACTGTGTTATGACTGTGACAAGGTTATTGCATGTCTACATGACATATTAGGTTATTGTCATTCTTCCAGGAAAACATTTTACTGCATGTAGAAGCAATCTATTATTTGAGTTGGTCTTCCAAAATTTTGATGATTTCTGGTAATTGTTTTGTTTTTTTTTTCTTCTAGGGGCAAAAAAATCTGTGACTTACAGTGTAAAGAAATTGTATAAAATGACAAAGGGATGGTTAAAGAAGACATCTTGAGTCTTGACACACTGTGTGTGGGTAAATAAATGGTACTTTTTCTCCAAATATTTTTTCTGGTGTTGCTTTGCCTACTTAAGAAGGTGAAAGTGCATTTAAGAAGTCAGTTCTAATAATTCCGTGTCCATTTTTACTACTGCCATAGAAATTTTTGTTACTGGGGAAGGTGTGATGGAAGTAGGGCAAAAGAATTATTATGTAAATACTGAAACTAGTTTTTCTGTACATGTAAATCAGATTTTCAAAGAATTTTCAGGAACCTTGAATTTAAACAATCTATTGTACGTATGAATTAAAGACCAAAGTCACTTATTTTCTATGTAATGATAGCTTTATTTTTGAAAATACCCCCAAGGCTCTTTCAAAATATTCTCTTCCCCAATTTTAGTTTTCTCAGAGACTTGCAGAACTGGAGAGTCCATAGAATTTTAATTAGGTATTAAACTATTCTCTTGAAATATGTTATTTATTTCTCCACTTGCAAGTTCATTGTTAGAATTCTTCTGAAGATGCTAAGTGGATGCATCTGCAGGTTAGACTTCATGACAAGTAAATTTTTCTCAAATCTGGCACATTCTGAATAAAAAATAAGTAAAAAAACAAAAAAAAAAAAAAAAAACAATGATTTTCAGTCTGGGAAAGTGTGTTTGAAATCAGTTCATTTTGTAAAATTTTTATGTTCCTTTCGTGAGACTCAAATGACAGCTGCCTAAGTCTTAGCTAAGTGTTGTCCAAGGTGTCATAGTTGTAAGGAAAGTCATACTGTCATTGGCATTCAGCATCTACTTGTACAGATTTATGAAATGGATTGTTAGGCAGAAGATTTTATCCAAGTGCTTTAAGAACTAGAATTTTAGAAACAAAAGTGTTTGACACATTGATATTTTTTTTCTGAATATAATGTCTATGAAGATAAAACTTGTTCACCCTTGCTTAATTAAACAAACTATGCTAAAGAAGTTGGACTATCCCATAATATGTTACATGATGCCATTAAAGAATGGAAATTTATGACGGTATTCATGTGTGATGAAATAAATCAGAGCATCTGTTGTAAGTAGAATGCTTTTGGCACTGGCTCAGGTGGATTTGCTAATTTTAGATGTTTTGCTTAATGGAACTTGAGAGAACATTTCATTTCACTTGTGAAAGTACCAACAATTTAACAAAAACAAAACAAACACAAAAAAAAAAGTGGGGTTAAAAATGGAAATATCTTTCCTGACTAGCATGTGCTTTTTCTTGTGTATCATGTGGTCCATAGGGCCATTTCTCAAGCTACACTTTGATTTAATGATCTCACTTTAAAAAACGTTATTGGAATGAAATTGGCTGCAGTTTCCAGGGATCAGTTCAAAGCATAAATTTAAGGAAGAAGATAGGAAAAAAAAATACAATATTTTATTTAATGTGACTCACTAAGGCTTACTTCAATCACAGGGGAACTTTTAAATATCGATTATTTTAAAATGGCAAAAGTTGAATATAGTCAGGAAATAAATTTGTCTGACTTTAATATCAGTATTCTTTTCCAAGAAAATAAATAGTAATTTTCTAAAGTCATAGACCGATCTGTAACATTTCACTGCCTGTTAGTGGATCTAGAATTTGTTAGACAAATCCCCTCACATGTCCATTTTCTGATATTAGGAGTCTGACTGTCCTGATGGTGCTCCGTTCTGCAGAAGTGACTTAAACTAGAAAATGTATACATGGTACTAGAATTCTATGTTCTTGTTAGTAAGAAACCAAAGTGCTAGATTTGAGAAAAAAAAAAAAAAATAAAAAAATTACATGAAATGGATCTTTGGAATTTAAGCCACTGCTTATATTAAATTAACCTTGGGTTTTGGCTAGATTTTTTTGTTTGCACGATGAGGTTTCTTTTTGGACCATCTAGAAATGTTTTATTCAAAATATACCATAGCCACCTTAAAATTAAATTCACATGCAGGGGCAATGTGAAATAGTCATATGTTTTCATACATTTCAGCTCTAGTAAAAGGAAACCTGAAATCAGATATTGACTGACTTAGGTGTATGTTCAGTGGAAAATTCCTAAGAACAGAGAGTACTGATCCCAGTGTTAGAAACACACCCTGACAGATACAACGCTTTTGGACAGAGGAACAGCATGAGAGAATTCAGGAGGGAGTCAAGGCCTTTTTTGAATGAAGTAGCTACCAAGTAAGAAGTGCAATGCTGTCAGAACTTCTGGATAGAGGCATCTAATGAGGTAATGACTTTTATTTTTTGTCCCAAATGAAGTACTCTGTGGAGTAAGTTGCATATGGACAGGAGCATGGACAAAAGACCAATTCTATTTATTTATTTTGAGGAGGAGCTGGGCAGGGAGACATAATCTACTGGAAGTCTTAGGATACAAAAAATAAATAAATTGAAAACTGAAATTGACAGCGTGTAATGTGTCAGCTCCTGCTTAGCCTCTTAAAAAGGATTTGTTTTTGACAAACTCCATGAGAACTTTTTAGTGAAATGTATGGTTTTCTGTGTGTGTGAATTCTGTTCTTGTTGTCAACTTTTGGAAAATAAATATTGAAAGTAAAAAAAAAAAAAAAAAAGTTGATTTTGTTTTTAAAAAATGCTTGTTGCTGCATGCTGGATTGTTAGAAAATTATTCCATGTACTGGATACCTGACCAGATAATTAAGGCTAAAATCTAAAACGGCGTTCAAAATTTTGTCTCATTTATCTCTTCTTTGTCTGTAACTGCAAATGTAACTATTGCATTTTTGTAATTCTCGTTCCATCAAGGACCCAAGCTTTCCTAGCTGCAGTACAGAAATGTACAAAGTGAAAGAAAAAACAAAGGAGCATCTGTAGCACACAAGTAAAGCAGAAGCTGGACCACAGAAAGAATAAGCAATATGACCAAATTCAAAAGCTGTCAGTGACAAAACTAGATGCTTTTACCTTTAACGTGCTCATTCCTTCCTTCTGTAATGGTACAATTTCATCAAGTTTTACATCACCGGCCAAATTGGGAAGTATTGTCATTGGACAAAACATTCCTGACTGTTTTTTTTCTTTTTCTCCATGAGAATGCAAGGATGGGGCTTTTTAAAACCTGGTTAAAAAACAGTACCACAGGATGTGAAACCACTTGCTCATAAATTATAATTGCTTCAAGCACTGGTTGAGAGAGATCATGTGTCATAAGATTGCCCAACATCTGGTCGAGAATTCTTACTAGCAGAGCATTTAGTCACATGCTTGACTTAAAATGCATACATACCTACCATTGCTAAATAGGTATTTAATTTCCTTTTTGAGACTTTACAGAAACATACTTGAATATACAGAAGGAAAAAAAAATAAAAATAAAAATCTGTGTGATGTATCAATACAGTTGGATGTTCCCGAACCCTTTGGGATATGGCTGCAGTGTGAAGGCTGAGTTTTAACGGCTTGTTCACTTCCATGGATTTTGAGGTTGTGGCTGTTTCTCCTTTATCAAGATAGGGTACCTTAGAGAGGTATGTACCTGAGATTTAAATAGAAAATCCTATGAGGGTATCTTGCATCCTAAGAGGCTCAGTACTTCTAAAACACTGTTAATTTTCTCATTACTGCTAAGCTTGGGGATAAGCAGCAGCTAAATGTAGAGTTGTAACAGCATTTCATCGTTTAAAAAATTCTATGGAAGCATGTCAGAGAACAGCTTTCCTTTAAAACCATCCACAACACAAATATTATGCTTTGAATATCAGATGAATTTAAAAGTTGTTATGGTGTTTCAGAAGGCGCCTGCTACCGAAATGGTGGTTCGGACATTCCAAGTCAATTACAGGTCAGTCTGATAGGTGAGAGTGAGTTGACCTCAGCGGCTGTAGTGCAACAGAGCTATCTTGATTCGGAACCTTGCTAGCTAAGCAAGGGCATTTAAACAAGAAATAATATTCTCTTAGAAAAAATGAATGTGCTGCTTGCCATTCAGCAGTTAATTAAACGTTATGTGCAACAGATGCTGTACAGCATCAGACCCTCACAACCTTTACACTGCTTGTTGCAGTGCCGGCAGATTGGTGTTACTGTACAGGTGTTACTTTACTGCAGAGCTTGCCTGTAATCTGAGCTGGCTGTGTTTGTCTTACGGGGATGAAATACCCACTGCCTATCTTGATTTGGCTTTGTGAACCTTCTTTGTGTGCAGCAATATAATTGGTCATTTCATGCTCTTTGGAGAGAGTTTTGCAAATCCCAGTTTAATAGTTGCTAGTTTACTCCATCTGTTGATACACTGCCAGTATTCAAGTCTCTGCAGTAAATCTTTGCGAGACTTAAAGTTCTTCCTCATCATCCATATAGGCTGAAATCTTAAACTGTATTCTGTTCTGTAAATCATTTATCTCTGTGCTTTTTAAAAAGTGGCCTACCTTTCCCCTTGAGGCCATTGGTCTTGAATGTATTTATTTTTTTGGCAGAGAGCCATGAATGAATCATAGCCTAGAGCAGTTTACAGTCTGAACTCCTCTCTATTGTTAATATAAAATACTTTATGCAGTTGTTACAACGTTTTGCTATGTAAAACTTTTAAGAGAAGAGATTGATTTCAGACATGCTAGTTGCTTTTGAAGTTCCCCAACAGTATGTGGAAATGATTTCTTATGGTCGTACAGCTGTAATCCACTAAAATAACTAGTGATTGTTGCATGGGAAGTTCGTACATGAGAATGGTACTGACTCTTTGTTGCAGTGAAGTGTGTTTGTTCTTCCACAAAAAATAGTCACATTAGCTTTTCATTCCATTTGTAACTTTCCTGCTTATACCTTCCTGCTCAATTTTCAAACTGCTTTGTTTTATTGTTTCTCTTGATTTAATTCACAAATCTTTTACTCAGTTGTTCAGACATCCCTTTTCTCTGGTTTGGCTATTCCACTGTGGATATTGTTTCATCTCCATCCCCTTTCTTTCTATGTACCAGTACTTTAATGAAAGGTAACCGAGGATGTCTTGATTTTTAAAAGGATTCTTTGCAATGAAGAGCCTGGACCCAATCAAAGTACGAAGGATTTCCAAAGATGAGTTGGCACCGCTGGCCTAGCTGGCACTGAGGTTGACAGTGCCAGTGAGGTATAACTGTCTCATGCTTCAGAAGGAATAAACTACACGACACAGGATAAATCAAAGTTTATCTGGTTACATAATCCAGAGATTTTGGTTTCTACTTCTGCTTACAGTCTTTAATCTTGATATTGAGTTCATTTATTAACTTGCCTGTAGTTGTAAGCAACCCATTTGACTACGCATTAAGAGGTTTGGCAGCTTCTACAGTTAAAATCTGGGGAGTGCATAAAACTGGCTGTGCCACACAAGATAACTTCTTCCATCAATACATGCAAGGTGTGTTCTTTATCACGTGCTTATATCCCCATTCCAAGTATTTGACTAGTGAGTTCCTCCAGGTGGCTGGCTGTATGACCCGTCAAATACCAGCTATACTGAATGCACCCGACTTTGTTTTAAGCGTGGAGATGGTGTTTCTCACCTGTGCTTCAGTGTGATTTCTCTCTAGCTTTGGTTCACCTTGTGTGTGAGTGAATGTGACTAGCAGATGGAGTGCAACAGCTGCAACCTTATCATAAACAAGGTGCCTCTAGGTAGCACGCAGTGAACAGGTGTGACTCGTTTCTGTTACAGAGCTGGACTCTTACAGTATCCCACTGCTTTCATCAGAACAAACATCTCTGCCAGGCTGGGGAGATACGCCTGTGTAGTACTCCACACGGTATTCCGGTGTAGGGAAATGAACTGTGAGGTCCATGTTTTTTTTTTTGTTTTTTTTTTTTTTGTTTTTTTTTTTAAGTGATTGAAGAGGTAATGCTAGAGCCCGTTCTGCCTTGGGAGACTTTAGAACAAACATAGCACTTGGTGAGTATCCAGTAGGGGGGGATCCAACCAGGGTTGTGACTCATGCCTTTTCCCAGCAATTAATTTAAAAATAGAATTGAAATATGCTTTGAAGGTCAGAATGTCAGGTCAGTGTGTGTGTCTGACGGTTTTTAATGGGTAAGGTGTTCACAGAGGACAAAACATTCTTCATTTCCAAGGTCACTTCTGCTGGGCATATATTCTGAATGCGTAGACAATTAATTGCCTTTGTATTATGTACTGAAGGAGGGAGAGACGTTACCTTTGTGTAGCTATTTTCTAGTATGTATTTTGGTTTGAGTAAACAGCTGCTCTCTACAAAATTTTATGAAAGCAGAGTGTTGAATGACCTTACTTACCTGTGTGCTTTAGATTTTCATCTAGAGACTGTTGTTAACTGATCCTGAACTTAATAGCTTCTTTAGGAAAGAGGCTCTAAGCATTTTACTCCTGCATCTTTTAACATCTTAGTTAGACTTGATCAGTTTTTTAATGTCTAATTTCACAAGTTTTAGTATATGACCGTGAAGCTTCAGACTATACATTCTGAAATTATTCGTATGAAAACAGATACTTATTACATCTCTAGGTTTAGTCTGAGAACTTAGGTGTCATTTGTACCTTCAGAATCCAGCATTCCACCAAAACCTTTTCATCCGTGGTGGGTAACTATTTTGGCAACCAAGCATGTTCTGAGAAAATGGAGGTCATGCAGCTGCAAAGACCGATATTCTGATTTTGAAACTTTGTGTAAATGTAATGGTTTTAGAGGGTTCTTCCTGCTTTTAAATTTGAATAGAATCTGATTGTTAGCAGTTGCAATCATAAGGGATTGTCTTAAAACATATATAAATAAATAATTTGGATATAACGCTATCTTCTGGTAGTTTCATATACCTTTGCTGTATCATGAGCCCTTCTTTGAAAGACTTGAGCCTGATGTTTAAGATACCTATTCTATTAAACAAGTTAAGTAAGCAGTTTAATTGAATGTCTTATTTTAGCTGTATTGAATTCATTTGTATTACTTCTCTCACATGGAGTCTATCTGGCTCTATGGTATACTTGGTAAATTTGAAAGCTTGTGTTCCCACAGAGTGGATTTTTTTAATCTTTGCCTCCTGCCAAAGTTTCTCCAAAATCTCCTATTTTAAAATTAGTAGTGAAACATGAGAAGAAGGCATTCAGTGTGTGTGTGTGGTTTTTTTCCTTAATGTTGCCATCCTCAAATTATCTTACTTCTATGCAGTGATGAAGTGCCTGGCTCACTCCCTGTAAAGACAAGAGTGAGAGCCAAGAAGTCAGTAGCTTCTTTGAATGCCTTGAGAAGTGGTGCAGGATTGGGGGAAGAGCTAAGTAAAGCAGCCTACCAGTGTCTGTCTCATGACCCTGTTGCAGTGCTTTGGCATTACAGGCTGAGGCAAGGCCTTTTAAAACCGAACTATTTTTGTACTGAAGTCTTGACTATCTCTTTCCTTTCATTGCCTCTCAAGTCTGGCATTGAAGTATGCATCTTAAATGAGGAGACATCGCATGTTCTGCACACTCATGGCTAACTCTGACCATGCATTCTTAGTTTAATTGTTTAAAGAATTCATCTGTGTTCCTTGCCTAGCTTTTTTGTAAGTAATTTCAGCAGGAATCTTTTGAATTTGAAAATGAGTGTAAACCATTTTAAAACAATTTAAAACAAAAACCAGGATCCCAAATCCTTCTATTTTCCTGAGTTTATGGGTCAAATAAAAACAATGTCTGACGTTCCACTTGTATTAGCACAGCTGCCCAAGTAGTACCTGCCAGCCTTCTCCTTGGTAAGCCCAGAGAGCTGTGCTGAGGTCACCTGCAGCCTTCTGGAAGCCGCACTGAAATCACAGTGATAAGGGCACATACTGTAAGGCTGAAGAGAAAGCCTAATTGCTGTGATGGGATAAGTGATCTTAGTCTAGAATTTGCTGGTCAGTAAGAATTTCAAGTCCTCAGTAATCCCCAGACGGTAAGCTGTAAGGCTGGCACAGAGCAACGGTATGAAAGTTGGCGCTGGAAGTCTCATCCTGCAAATGTGACTAAACTTAACTCCTCAGGTATGATTCTGTAAAGCATTTAAGAGTTGAGAGTTTTCAGAGTAGGTGGGGCCAAAAGAGCTTTAGGCCGACACGGTCTTTTGATGTTCCTTTAGGCAGGCATTTTACTTTTGTCCGTTGACTTATTACTGGTGGCTGGTTTAGAAACAATCCCCGTGACTAGAAAACTGTTTCTTACAGCTTTGAAACGTATGTGAATTATATAGTTTACAGTGAGTTAGTACATAAACTCTTAGAGTAATTTTGCATCTAATCATGAAATGCAACCTGTTCATTATTTTAATGATCCCAGTTACACTAGAATTTCTTCTTTCCTATGTGAAAGTTAGAGCAGAAACCTAGTAGGAAGGTAAATCTGTTACATGAATGTGTTCTCTGCACAAGAAGAGGAATAGAATCAGGGGAAAAGTATGCAACGGATTATTCTGAATATTTAACTACATCTGTACATCACTCATTACACTGAACTTTCTTTTACACTCATTTTGTCATTCAAAGTTTTGTAGTTGTGGTCATTTTATTGGTGTTAATGAACTTTAACAATAAACTTTTACAAATTAAAACCAGTAGGTTAATTCTGAAGGGTGCTTTAATTTGTTAATCTGACACTCCTATTTCTGCCTAGGTATCTCATCTTCCTTCACCTTATGGGAATCACTTTAGGGTAGAATCTTCCTCGTTAGAACAAAGCACACAAAAGTACCTGTGGTTAAATGCTCTGAGAGTTAGTGGTGCTCATATTTCTGTTCAGCTCTGAAAGTATCTTACTGTTTGCTTGAAGATTTTGCTGCTGTTATGACCCTGCTCCAGCTGAAATTATACTGTCTCTTTTAATCTTCCCTCGGATGACAGGGGCAGACAATTATGAAGAGGGCAAGCTTTGTCTTGAAGCAGGTAATAAATAACCAACTCCATCAACTTACAGTTTGGATCAACTTGTCTGTCTGGAATTACCGCTATTGAATACATTATGGTCTAATGAAATAATAAACTATCTTCAAAAAAATGTAAAGTGACTTGCATGGTACATTGTTTTGGATCTGGGTGTGTTTTTTTATATAACGTAGCTTTGAGGTGCAGTGCAAACAAATCCAGACTTTTACAGGGAAGAGTTTTAGATTCAGTTTAGCAGTATTAGCATTGAAGAAAAAAAAAGTTTGCTTGTGAGGCTATGTAATTTGGTTTTGATAAATGTATTTTGAGATGATTTTAAAAGCTATTTTCATTTGTAAAATTAGCATTTTATTAAAAGAGGTGAATAGATGGAGCTATGCATTGTAACTGTACTGGCAGATGTTTTGAAGTAATGACATACTTGATTAAGCCTGCAATATGTCTCTCTCTGTATAGTGTTTTGTTACAGCTTTACAAGAGGTGTGTGCTTTGTGGCACAAACTTAATCATCTTTGTACATAGTTTCTATTAATGTATCTTACATTTCTCTTCAGGCTTAAGATAACTTTGTGTCTTTCCATTTTGTTACAAAAGTATCTGTATTGCTGCTGTTTGAAGGAGAAAAAAAGGCAACAACAGAAAAGTGAAACTGCAGCAAGAAACTGGAAGAATGAAGGTAATTCCTCTTTCACGTGCAGTGAATGCCAGCTGGAAAATTAGTGCATTCTGTGGACATCAACAGAAAAAAAGCACCATCTCTTTGTACCTTTAGAGTTGTAGTGGTAATTGATGCAACGCAACATGTACCCCCTGCTGCTAGTCTTAAAAGCTGAAATCACTTGAAAATAGAGTAGCAAAACAGGTCTGAGCCTCGTTCCACATTGAGTGTCCCTATCTAGTTGACACTGATGTTGTTCACAATAGTAGGGCATATTGCTGCTGTGGTCCATGTGTAGGGAGATGCTTGCCCAAGGCATTTTTGACCAACTGTTATTATAGTGGAAATATTTTCTTAGTTGGTCATGGAACAGATGTCAGGCTTAATCGCAATAATAATTACAAGATTATTGGCAGAGTAAGGTCTGCAGAACTAGGACATCAAATCTCCCTATTGACTGCAACTAGGCTTGATGCAATTCCTTTTTTCCCCACTCTGGCTTCAGCTTCTTTCCATACTTGATCTCAAAATAAAATAATAATAATAAACAAGATTTAAGATACTTAACAATGCAACTGCTCAAAGAAAGTTCTCAAAATAGAAACCTAGAAATTAGCTAGCAGGTTGTGTTGCTCATGAAATATGGGTGTCTCTTCTGTGAAATGGAGCTGATTCTACATGTTCGGTGGGCTTAGGGCCTGTGAGATGTTATATAAGTTCTGTGTTACAAATCCTTGGTTGATAGGTTCCTGCTGTGGAGGACACTTAGGAGACACTGCCATGCTGGAATGTGCAGTCATAGCTTTGGAGTCAGTTCTGTATTTGTGGCTGCTGGTTCTTCCCAGCCTGCAGCTGTACCACACCTCAGCTGGCAGCTTGCAGTGTTTGGTCGCTGTCCTGGCTCTGTCAGGCAGTGGTAAGTCTTCCAATGATTATGGAGTGGAGAAAGAGTACTGGGTATCATTGCACTAGAACTTTACATGCTTCCCCCCCCCGTTATCACTTTTCAGTGATTAATATACATGTGGAACAGGTGTTTCTTCAACTGGAGCCTGTTTGAGGATTTGAGTCACGCCTTACAATCTACCTGGCTGCCTAAATTTGGACTGAAGTCTCTTTGTTTTAGTTCAGGTGCAAACCCGCAGCTATCTCGGTCAGTTTTGGTTTCAGCAAAGTATGTTTTTCTGTTGGCATCTGAGTCAGCAAAGAGTCTTTGATAGCATTCACTTGTAAAGTATGTGCAAAATGAAAAACAAATTGTAACACCCAAGCAAGCCAAAATATGGTTCATCAAACGAGATTGTTTTTGATTTACTAATCTGTGAATTTGCCTTTTAAACAGCTTGGCTAAGCATTAGCATGTGTTGTGTTTAGCAGCTTCAACAAGTTTTTTTTTATGGCTTGATAGCTGTTAAGATTCTTTTTTTGTGTGTGATTTCCAGCATTTGACATTTGTTTTTTTTTTTTTTTCTCTCAACAAATGCTGATGCTTACCTTCAGTGTGGAACCCATCTGTACTAGCAGTGCTTGTATGGAAGTGCATAGGGTCATCTTTCCCAGAAAGCTCAGACGTCGTAGAGGTTTAGTAGTCCCATTGCATCCCATTCCAAAACTTTTGCTAGGAGCTGTAATAGCATTTCCAAAGGATCAAAAGCTGTTTTCACCTCTACTTTTTAATGCTACTCCTCATCCCAGGAGCCCTGTCTCTTTAAACAAAGAAACCCTGCCTACCTCTTTCCCTCCAGCAGTTGTAAACAGGAGCAGCAAACTTTTTTCTTGAAGATACATATTAAAAAGGTTTGTAATTAGTCTACAGCAATTCATCCTCGTGATGCTTAATGTCTATTTCAGATCTTTTCTCAGTGCCTGTGGTTTTGTTTTCCCTACTTCAAAGTGTTTTTCTTGTTTAGTGTTTTCTCTAATAATTTTCACATTGCTATCTTGAGTACCATTTTTCCAGAAATTAGATCATCAAACTCCTGTTCTTCCTGGTAAAGAAAATATTTTCCAGTCCATTAACAAAATACCAACTTTTTGTAAAAATAAATAAATAAATAAAAACACTATAAATGTTTCCCTATATTGTTATAGATACTGTAGATTAAGAGTTTAAGAAATGTATAAAATAATGTTTATGATGATGTTGTTAGGCATTTTGCCTTTCACTTTTTTAGCAACTGAAGCCATTCTGTTACATACACTATGTGTGTTGAGTCTGAGTCTGGATTTCATTTAGCATTTGG